CGTCACCACAGCTGCACAGTCAGCATTAGATTATTTTAGTTTAAATTTAATATCTTTAGTCCTTATTAGCAATAGCGGTCTTTTACATTAGCAGTCCACATAAAAGTGTAGTTTAGTATAAGGAAGAGAGAGGTTTTTCCATGATATTTGTCGTAATGTTTACTTCCCTTTGAAATATTTGCCTCTTTTTGTTCATATAGGATTCACAGTTACCGGGTACGCCCTTTACTTTTACACTTACAGTACATGGAAGGGACGGGCAGTATATTTGGAGGACCTGTATGTGATGCCAAAATTCAGAGGTACAATATTTTTTGTGTGTGTGTATATATATATATGTGTGTGTGTATGTATATGTATATGTATATATATATGTATGTATATATATATATATATATATATATATATATATATATATATATATATATATATATATATATATATATATATATATATATACACTTATATATTAGGGGTGCAACGATACAAAATTCACGGTTCGGTTCGATACTTTGGTGTCACGGTTCGATATTTTTTCGATACAAAATAAAATGTTCATGCCTTTTTAATTTGTCATTTATTAAAATTATAAATATATATTTTAACTCAAAAGTACAGTTTTTAAATTTAACCCTAACCCTTGTGCGTGTTTTTTATTTTGACAGCGAATGCGCACCTGCGGACCACTTATGTGCACCCCTGGTTATTTAGCTCGTCATATTGCAGCCACAGAAATTATTTTGTCCATGAAATCATAAAGCTGCACTTTCTTTTTGCCTTATAGTCTGATTTGTCATAACTTTTCCGTTTTGTGGTAAGCTTTTCTTTGGCTGTCACTTCTTCACCCTGACCTGTCTTATTTGGCTCAGCAGAACTAAAATATATATTCTGCTGGTTTTACACAGGCACTCACATAAGCTCAGCGATTCTCTGCGCGATCAACCTCTCATATGTTTAAGCTTGCTGCGGGAGATTTCACTTGTCATGTTTGCATAGTAAGCTAACGATTAATAAGACGATGTCAGAGGAATTGGTGCACAAATTATCATCACTCACCAATCAGTGCTGTCGCTCTCTATACACAGTTCACGCGATTGCAAAGTGAAAGCAAAAAAACAAGCGCAAATTCAAATGCGATTTTAATATGTCACATATTGACAGTGGCTCACCGATGCCAATGACATAATTACCCAGCTACATTTCTGAAAGAATGCAAAAGCATTGACATATACTTTTCCTTCCTACAATAGCCCGACGGGCAGGGCAGAGATAGATTTTGGTAGCCCGACTGGAAAAATCGCTAGCCCCAGGACGTCGGGCTAGCGATATTGCAAGCCCTGTATCTGATTGATGAATCACTCATCTTTGGAAAAGAGAGTTTATTACAGAGAAATGTCTCTTTCCAAAATAAAAGCTATACTATCCGCTTCTTCTGGGCTATATTCTCAGCAGCATAAGGAGAATCATGTGCTAACAGCTGTCTAAATGACTCGGCTAAAGTTAGTAGCATGCTTGTTGTTTTTGTCTTTGCACTAGGATGATGTCGGCGTAAATGTGCAGTCATATTCGTTGTGTTCCCACTAGTGCTTTCAGGTTAATCTCGTTGAAATGACCTTAACGCCACAATAGGGCTGCTCGATTATGGCAAAAATGATAATCACGATTATTTTCACTGAAATTGAGATCACGATTATTTGACGATATTTATTTAACCCTTTAAGACCTACTATAGAACCAAGTCCACCAGAGCTTATATAATTTTTTTTTTACATGCTGTAGTGCCATTTGTGGGAGCATTTCAAGTTGCTATACATCAATACAACTGTTATAGCCCATATTTTAATAATATGTATGCATTAAGTCCATAGTAATTACATAAATTGCAAAAAAGTGCAATAAACTACAAAAAAAATTGAAAATCGCTTTTGTTTTGTTTACATATATTTCTACTTGGAGAAATTTAAGAGGTTTATCCCTCAAAACCTTAAATACAATAAAGTTGCAAAAAATAGTTTACAACAACAGGAAATTTATTTTGAGTGTCTTCATAGTTTTATTTTGGAGATACAGTTTTTATATACTGCAGGAAAAACAAAAAACAATCCTATGATGCAAATTTGCAAAGAAAACAGCAGGTGCATCATTTCACTGTGGGAAGTGTTACGAACAGCTGATGGATCGGCAAAGCGTGTTTCTGGAGTATTATGTTTTTGTTCCTGCAAGCGCTTTTTATGCAGTTTTTGCAAAGCTATATGTGGAAGGAAACCGTGACCGAGGACAAGCTGATGGCATAAGTTGTAAGTACAACTCCTCCGGTTTCATATGCAAAACAAATTATTGCGCTAGCTTACACGGTTCAGGTTCTACAGGGATTTAAAAATAGTTACACAACACGGAGCGTGCTGCTCTGACCGGATTTAAAGGGTTAACAATGACTTTAAAAAATAATATAAAATAGTGTGCAACACCACTGAAGTTTTTTTTACCTCTCTTTTCAACCAACAGCAGTCACTCTCCTCTCCAAATAACTTCTGCTTAGCTTTCCGAGCTTCCCTCGGGTCCTCTTAATCAGCGGTCTCCAACCTTTTTTGCGCCACGGACGGTTTATGCCCGACAATATTTTCACGGACCGGCCTTTAAGGTGTCGCGGATAAATGAGGGAGGGGCTAATAATCGGCTCAGTCATTTTTAATGATCGTTGAAAGCCCAGATCGTAATCGTGATTAAAATTCGATTAATTGAGCAGCCCTACGCCACAACACGGCAAATCTCCATTAACGAGCTACCGCCGATCGCCCCGTGCATGGGGCTAGACGGCCAACACGTTAACGAGCTAACTGCGCTAACACACTAGTTCCCACCCATGGAATTGAGCATTGCATGGCACATCCAACATACTGTTTTACTTTAGTCCATGACTCGCTTACCTTCAGGGTCATACGTCACATGAAAACCAAAATAATTCCAAACGCCAGATCTGAATGAGGGTGGGGGAGGTCCATGTTGCAACTTCTGTCTTGCTAGCTTGCCCTGCGCTCTTCCTTCTGACTATGCTGTCTGTGTTGAGCGCTCAGTGGATCTGCGCTAGACAGTGCAGCCTAGGCGGAGTAGTCGAACACAGATTCACTGAGCGCTCAACACAGACAGCATCGTCAGAAGGAAAGTTGATAAAATAAATTACAAATGTTGTATTGTTCGATACATACGCGTACGGAACCGAAAGCACTGTATCGAACGGTTCAATATCGATACGAATATCGTTGCACCCCTAATATATATATATATATATATATATATATATATCAATCTAGATGTATTTGTTACTTTATCATGTTTATAATGGTTTCCCCTGTAGGAAATGGCATTGGTACAGCCTTATTGAGCAAAGTTGCAGAGGTAAGACTGTTTTTGTTGTTGTATGGAAAACCTATTTTTTTTTAATTTGATTTGTTGCATTTGGACGCTTTTGATTTTTTTCTTCTGTTTTGGTTAATATCAGCTGTTTTGTGTTATAGCGAGGTAATAGTGCATGATTAAGAGCAGGACAATTTTTTTATTTGTTCAGATTGGGAAAAAGAAGCAGTGTGTGCGGCTGCAGTTGTCTGTGCTAAATTGGAACACTCCCTCTCGAGACTTTTATGCTGCTAAAGGAGCTCAGGACCTCACTGTCACTGAAGGCTGGCACGCTATCCGCTTTGATGGACAGAACCTGGACAATTTAGCAAATGAAGCACCTAAAGATTGACAAGAAAACTATGCTCTTTACCCTTCTGTGCAAAATGGTGCTTGTTTTAAAACGTTTTTGGTATTTTTCTCCATAAAACAGCCTTAATTATATCTTGTGTGTGTCCTTGATTTAACAAATTAATTTACAGGGGGCGAAGGATGTGAAATACATATGAATTTAGTATTTTTGATGTGATACGGCTATCCCTTTTGATTTCTTCTTCTATAGACTTGAAATAGTATCGCTCAAAGTCCCATAAACACAGACCCCTGCTAAATAAAACACTGAGTAGCATAAATCAGTGGTTCGGTACATTTTTATGTTTTCATGTACGTTTCTGAGGAACTGAAAACCCAGTGTATTACTTTCACTCTTACAGTGATGCAGCTACTGTGACCAATTAAGTAATGAAAAGGAAGAGATATTAAAACAACCTGTTAAGAATGAGGCTTTTAAGAATGTTAAGAATGCGAATTTTTAAAGTGCTGTACATGACTTTATGCTTTAAATGTTATATTTTAAACTCTTCCTTACATTTAAATTATTTATCACCAATCAGCAAAATGTTTCTTGACTCTCATTGGGTAAACCAAATCCCAGATGTGACATCACAGCTTTCCAGCAGGTTGCAACTGTGAGATACTCCAAAGGTGATTTTTTGTTCCTGGAAGATGGCATTTTTAAAGTGTTGAATCTGTATTATGTGAGAATGTAAAACACAATGTGTCACCAAACTAAAATGGGCATTAAAGAATAAAGTGGGCCCTGAGAAAGTACTGTTGTTAAGTGGGTTATATGACAAGATTTGAGCTCTGAGCTTTTTTTTTTTTGTTGTTGTTGTTGATTTAAACATTCAAATGAAAAGCTGCTGTGCAAGCAAGTTCTGTGAATGTCCTTTTTTATTTGACTGTGCAAAGTAGTTAATAATGACAACAACAATGTCACCTGTGCTAAACACCGCTGAGCATCACTAGCAGAAATCATAAACGTGTTAACATTCTCATAATTTAGGGCATTCGATTACTGTGAAATGGTAAATAACTGGTAAATATATAGTAAAAAACCATGCAAAAATCTTGAGAAATGTATAAAATCAACAAAGTGACATGTAAATATACTCTGTGCTTATGATTGTTTCATGCTTTTTACTCAAGTGGCTCCTGCAGAAAAAATAAAAAACCCAAAACAAACAAAAACCGCACTGGCTGAAACCACACGTGTCCTGTTATTGTGATAAATTATGTATGGGACCATTAGAAAACAAAATATACCAACTGTGTGCTTAGTTGGAAGTGTGACTTTTGCATCAAAATTTACTTACTGTAACAGATTTTGTCCTGGAACCTATGACCGTAATTGATATTATACTGTCACAGTTTTCATTATGTCCCCTATAAATGATACCAGATTTATTTTTTTTACTCATTGTCTCTTTCAGAAAGATTCTGAAAAGATTCTTACTTTTCCGTCTACACATTAACTTCTTAGACATATGCGTTTCTGTCATAGTTGACAGACTGAGAGGGTGCCACAGTTGATCGCACGTGTCCTCTGGAGGATGGTTGGAGTGGATACGGTCTAAAATACAAAAGGCACGTTTAATTTTATTATATTAATTATACACCTGTTATATGTATAATATCTGGCGAATTAAACTTTTCAGCAACAGTTACATTTTTTCACTGTCAGTCATAATTCCGCAGGAACACAGCAGGCACGAGCCTCCACAAATGGCAAGCGTGCCTGAAGCCCAGCCAATATAAAGCGCCTCTCCAAGCTCATACCTGCAAGACAATAAGATTTATTTATATGACATTTTGATTGTGATATTTATTTAATATTAACAATTTTTAATCTATGTTATGTGCTTTCAGCTGATGCAGATTATATTGACTTACTTTGTCCCTTGGTAAAGAATGTCAAAGAACTGCTGGGTGATGTTTGCTGCGTACCAAGACACGGCAATCATGGTGCAAAGCCCTACAAAATGCAAAAACAAGTTAAATTCACAGAGTAGTGCACATATCTTTATTAAAAAAAAGTCAAGTTTAAAAACATTAGGCCAGTTGTGCAACAAAAATGCTATCTAAATGTTGCATAAGATTTTTTATATTCCTTTTTAAAAACTTTACAAGTTGTAGTTCAGTAAATCATATTAATTATGTAAATTAAAAATATGTTGTTAAATGAAAAATGTATATATCAAATATAGCTTTTTCAAATACAGGGGAAAATACTTTTTGGTCAATGAGATGATCCTATAACTGGGTTCACACACTGTTTTTTTAAATGGGGTAACCAATAGTGCTGTTGAAATGCATAAACTCTTATTAATGACGGTCCTATATCAGCAGGTTTGTTAGCGTAAGGGTAACCTTTTGAACTAGTAAACCATTATATAATGGTGATATGATAGCATGTCTTGTGAAAAGTAGAAATCGAACCAGGCATGCTTATATTTAACCAGGTGTTCTGTGCAAACATTCCTTTGGGAGTGTGAACTGTCTTAAATCTGTCACATGACTTTATGGAGGCTAGGTTGCATTTCTCAAATTGTAAGTCTGGTTCAAATAATCAGGCAAAAATTTCACATGTAAACACTAAAATGCTTGTTTTAAATGAAAGTTTTTTTTTCATTCCTTTTTTTCATAGATCTTTCATCCACCCCCAAGTCTTTACCTTGCAGTAAAAAAAACACTCCTCCAACTGCAGCAATCTTCCCCTTTAGAACATAGTTTTCTCCACCTATTTTCGAGCACTTCATTCCTACAAGCGTAGCCACCAGGCCAAACGACCCAAACACAATTGAAGCAATCATCAGTGCTCGAGAGGCCTGAATGTAGCCTGTGTGCAAATAAAAGACAGAATAACATATTGATTTATACGTTTGTGTACCGTATGGTTATATCTAAATAAGTAACAAAGATTTAAGCAGTAAGTTGGTAAGAACTTTAGAAAAAGCTTTTTTGTTTTGTTTCTATTAAGCTTCATATAAAAAATTCTTGCCCTCAGATTTTCATTTGTTTCACATTTCAGTGAGAGGCTCCACCTTGAATCTCACAGGACAGACACAATGATATGAGTTGATTAAGTTCAGGCAGACCACAAATATTTTCAAATTATTCCACATTTCACAACTGATAAAATAGTCAGCAAATTGTAAAAGTATCTGTTGTTTCAGAGAACAGGAAATGTTTATCCTTTCAGGTCTAGGCAGATCTTGTGACCGGGCTGTACAGCCCATCTTGGGTCTTTTTTTAGTACCAATCAACCAGAATACATAGTATAGAAATGTGTGCCTCAGGATTGTAGGCAAGACTGATAACTGTTTGAGTACTACAAAACTCTTTCTCTTTGGATCACTTTGATATGGTGAATATTTATATGTCACTTCGCATAACTTGATTCTTAAACAGTAACTTAAGAAATACAAACCAAAGTAGATGCTAATTGCTAAATGGGCATTGATTAATTATAATTCAGTCAAAGTTTTTATTGCATTTGTTTTTTTCTGGATTTTCTATTGCAGTTACTCTGTTCACCAGTACTTAGTACAGTAGAAATTTCCAGACAAGTAAACAACCGACACACCCTGAACAAGTAAAATGTTGATGAAAACATTCATAAAAAGGATCAACCTTTTTTACCGTTGTAAAGACTGTTTAATTATTTGTTATTAAGGATTTTTTTAAAGTCCTCTGTTATAAGAGCTGATTTTTACAACATAGTTTAAGATGGTTTCAGATAAAATCTTACTTGGAAAGTCTTGGGCTTGAGTAGCTAAGCCAGATGAATCCTTAATTGATTAATTAATAAGTACTTAACTTAATAAAACTAAAAAACAAAACAAGAACATTTATGTGTTGACCACATACCAAGCAAAGATGGGAAATCACGGCAATAATTAACGCCTGTAGAGTCAGTTGCGCAGGACATCCAGAGGTTTTCATTGTTGATGGGGTGAGATAACATTACCATCAACTGTAAATTCCTTCCAGTATCGATTTGGAAGGGCGACCCTGATCATTATCCAACTGTGAAAGCCCAGAAATGAAGCAAAAGCTTCCACTATTGGGTTTATAACGAAAAATAGACGTAAACGTTCATCTCCAAACTATGTTCCCACACAATCTTGAAGTTGTTAGCCACTGAGCCTCAATGTGTCAGAAAATTTTCCTGCTAAGATACTACAAAAAGTACAAATTAATAATTAATTCCAGCTCACCCACTCAACATTCCCTTTATTCTGAGTTCTATTCAAACTTTTCAAAGACTCAAAATGTTACCCAACTTACGGGGCCACAGAGAGGTGCTTACCAATGTCTATAGATTTAAAGCTACATGTCACCTTTTGCCATTTGCTTTAAGTCCTGTGCCAATGTTATTAACTATTTATTGATGGGATTCAAGCCATGCTTTGGCTCCTCATTTCACTCTCTCTACAAGGGATGATGGTAACAGCTGTGGTAATAGGTGATGAGGATGCATAGTTGCATTATGACCCTAAGTCGAGTCTGCTTGCCTGTCTGCAAATCAGACAGATTCATTATTAGTCTTTTAGGATCCCAGCATTTGGTAATGAATAAAAGAAGCATTTAACTTCAAAATGTACTCTCTTCCAAACAGTTTTAAACTAAATTGCCTAAAATGAACATGTTATCTCTGAGCATTGCTAAAAACAAGTTTTACTCGTTCTGTAATGGAGTGAAGTACCACCAACCCTAAAATGGTTTTGAACATTGCGTTTACACACATGACAAAAATAGACTTACATGAGAAATTTGGCAAAAGGTTTGTTTAGATTGAACAGATGCTGTTTATTTTTTCTGTCACGCCTTCAGATTACAGCCTGTGGCAGATATTGTATTTATTTATTTATTTTTGGCTTTTATGAAGATTATTTGATTATTATTTCATATTAAGTTTAAAGCATTTCTTTCAGTATGACTGTAAAATTTGCTAAATCATCAAGAGAATAAAAATACATATATGAGAATATGCAAGCTATGCATATAATCCCAAGTACTTTTATATTAGTTACCTAATTAAATTATTGTAAACGGCGTATTTTGGAAGATGAAAAAAATATTATGTAAAAAATTAAAACTTTACTTACCTGGAAGAGCAAAAAGGGATGGAAAGTCACGACAGTTATAGTTCCCCGTTGAATCACTTGCACAAGACATCCATAGGTTCTCATAGAGATTAGAAGTTAATATAACACTGCCGTCTTGACTGGATTCCCTCCAGTGCTGATCTTCTAGTGTTATAAGAGTCAATATCCAACTAACAAAACCTAGAAAAAGTGCTACGACTTCAATGAGCGTGTTCATCTTGGCAGTAATTTTTATTAATAATTAGTAGAAGTAATAATAATTGGAGGAGCTCTAGTTGCGACTTCAGTATCTGATACACATTTTGGGAATGTGAGAACTGACTCAGGATTTTTTTTCCTCATGCACTGGTACCTGGACTAATATCCGCGTTGCTTTATAGCCTGTAGCTACAATATAAGTGTGCTAATCCCGCCCAAAATACATGACATTACACATGGTAGGCAAGTTGCCATAGAAATGTGAGTAAACAAGGAGCATGTTCATAAAACATTAACTGTTTGTATTATTAAGAATGTTTTGCAGCAGTTCCAGTTTTTTGTTAATCTCTGAATCTTGTCTTTCTGTCTGTGTCCTGTTTCTGAGGAGTTGGTAACTTTCAATTTTAATGAGGCTATTTCAAGTTCCATGGGCAAATACTTAGGGGGGAAATGCTGAATTAACAGTAAAGCAAACACTTGAAGCTGCTTAGGTGATTTATAAAGGACAGAAAAGTATCTTTTTGCGGCACTAGTTAAACATTAACAATTTTGCAGCAGGAAAAAAGACCTGCTTAAATTCCTAACATTTGTAAATACTTTTTTTAAGTGATACAGCATATCGATCCAACAATGTCTGTTCTGTTGAAAGATTAGCTTGAAAAAGTGCAGAGCTGTCACCTAAAAGAATCTGCACAAAGGCCTGACTGCTACAACTCAACCTTGTAATTCATTAGTGTCTACACATGAGAAAAAATGTATGGAAATGTAAAAAAGTCCAGAATTTATCTATACTGTACAATATATATGAAATGTATGTTTGTTTTAAATTAATTTTTTGCACGTGCAAATCTCCCCGACTGTCCCTCAGAATGAATGGTGATGTGTTTACCATCTTTGACTCAAGCAATTCTTAGTTTCTAAGAAACTTCAAATCACCCCTTAAAGTCTGTATCTTATCAAATGGGAATTCTCTTTTGCTGCCAGCAATCAAAAGCATAGTTCAAAGTACTGTCATATACTTACAGTACTGAAGAGGAATTACACTTTTAATGTTTTGTTAATCTTTTATCTCCCTGCCCTCCTCTCTATAAATTTAAATACTGATTTACTTGTGTCCGCACTGACCTCTTTGCTTAAAGGGAAAAATGAACTGAATTAGACAAGTAGCCGGACTTGATGTTTAAAATCAACCCTAACTCTAATCCCTTCATTTTCTTATTCAAGACAAAATAATTCAAGATACAATTTTATTTTTATTATTTCAACGATTTTAAGTGAAGGTGTTAAATTTCACCTAGTTATAGCAAGTTAATTTACTGCATGCGTTGCATATCCCTTTCACGTTTCAGCTGTAATTACTGGATATGTGCCACGCTTTTGTACCCCTGGCTTTCAACTCTGCTCCAAATGTCATAAAGAAGTAGTCAATGAGGAGCAGCACAACCATTCAGTTAATGACAAAACTACTGATAAGGTGTAAACGAGACATTCCTTAACTTTATTTCTGGATGATTATTTTACATCTAAATATAGCAAAAATCAAAGCATAGTCATTGTTTCTGACTTGTGTATGGGTGTGTGGTGATTTATATCTGGTACATTGTGGTTATCTAATGATTAATTGACCTGTAATTAATAAGCTGCATTGCACAGATTGCTCCATGCTTCTCCATAGCTAGCCGCGCCAGCCACCATCTACTATTAGTAATATACTGACATATGGATGAATCTGCTCTGAAACGGTTTGCTTTGCTTCAAGTAAACTAGTAGGTAAGGAAGTAAATTCATTTATAAAGAAATTTTGCATAGAAGATGTGACTGTAACAGTAGCTTCTGCACAAAATTCGCTTGAGACTATCTGATTTTCTTTGATTGTCTATTTAAATGACTTTCATAATTGAAAATATTACTTAACTGAAGAAAACTTTTGAAAATATCCCGTTTCAATTTTAGAGGATGATTCATATGTGGTTTGGTAATGTAGTAAATTCAGCAAAAGCCATTTAACAATGCAGCATATTTAAACCTCGGTCAGGTTTTGTGTGCTGAAGGTAGCAGAAATTTGATGAAGTAACTGCGTCAGTACTGGTTTTACTAGTACGGTACTCGACATTTCCCCATCCCTCTCTTTCTCTTTCTCTCTCGCACATTATTTTTTTTTTCCACAGGCAATCACCATAACCAGACAGCATGTGTGTCTGCGTGTGGGTGCAGTGGCGTGTCTAGAAAATTTTTGTTGGGGGGCCAGGTAGGGGCACAGATTTGGAGAAGGGTGGCAGATTTAATTGGCAGATAATGTTTTAAAAAAAAATTCTACCAACCCTTAACCATAATTCAATAATCCTATAAACCTAATAACCAAATGCACTTTTAACTCTTATTAGAATGAGATTTTAACCACTACGGTGCAAAGTTTTTAGATACTGCGTTGATAAAGTACAAGAGATACAATCAGTGCTTTGTCAGTGTTTACTCAGCAGTCAAGGACAACAATATTTGCATAGTATTTTTACTGACATATAGTGCACATATGTTTTGGGCAAAAACATTTTTGAAAATTAAAATACAAACATTTGTAACAAACAATTGACAAATTAGCCAATGCCAATGCAAAACTTTATCTGCCTGTTAAAAAAAGAAGATAATCTTCTCACAAACTGGTGTTTGATTTTGAAACAGGAAAAAAGTGGGGAAACAACTGAAAAGACTAACATTTGAATGAAACCTGAAAGCAAGTAAATACTTTCTATGCTGCCTTATCGTAAACTTTGGTAATATTGATAAAGAACAACACTGGCTGATGATAAAATACAGTCAGCTGGCATGGTGACACTGCCAGTATTAACCTGCAGGGCTGGACTGGGACAAAAAAATTGGGCATTTTTACTACAGACCGACCCACCAGGTAGTAAAGCCATAAAGACTTTGACTGAAAACAAACCCTGTTGTGACAGTGATGTACAGTCTTGTTGGTATATGTATGATTTCTATACATTTTACGTCAGATAAAAACTTTGTTTGTAAGATTTAGATAATTATTTAATAAAAACTAGGTATTTTAAATGAGAATAAAAAAGAAAAGTATTTCCTTGTGCCCCCCTTTCCCTTTTAATGCCCTACATGGACCCCTGGCAACACTTTGCTAGACCCGCCCCTGCACAGTTACCAGCTGTCTGCTACATAAAAAAGGATCCTGGTGTTATTTATCTCTCAGAAACAGTTCATAACTTCCCTTCAACTCATTCATGTCACCTAAAAGGTAAACCTGTTTCTCCATCACCTGTTCAGCTCTGATGGTTCAGTAAGGACATCTCCTGGTTTCATCTTCATGTTTCCCTCTCACCACATATCTAAACAGACATCATGACCAGCAGCTTTACAGCTGTGGCTCCAGCAAACATCAGCTGATACTAGAAATTAATATTAAATACATTCTAACAACAGCCGATCAAGCTTAAACGTGCTGCTGTTGTTTAGCGCAACATCTGCTGGTTTCCTCTTTCTGGCGCAAAGTGGGCGATAAACAAGAGAGAAAAGCCGATCAGCTGATCATTGATCAGTTTCATGATTGAAGTAGCAACAGGAGAGGGAGGGGGAGAGAATGAGAGAAGAGGCAGCTGTGCAGCGTAAAGACAGAATAAATCCAGCTTAAATCCGGGACAAACTGCGTCTCTTCTCAGCTCAATACGAAACGTGTAATATTTTCTCTGAATGAGGGACCATTCCATTTTTTTAAGGAGCCGTTGGCAACTCTACTAACCTTATGAATAAAATAAAGTTCACTATCAGTAACATCATAGCACCCACCCAGCTGTATAAAAACTCCGTCAAACTGGCTAGAACGCAGTATGAGTTATTGCAACTGACAGTAAAAAGTCAGCAACATGAAAATAAACTCCACCTAAACTTGGTTTATATCTGACCCAGATAGACTGCAGGTCATAACTTCTTACCTGAAGTTCAGTTCACCTGACACTCGGACTGGTGGCTGCTTCGGGTCTCTCCTCCTGCCTCCCCTTCCCTCATCCACCTGTTGCCTCTGTGGAAGCCCCGTCATAGCCACCACCAAACAACGGAGTTATTTCTACACATCGACCTGCATCTGGCCAATCCACCACCTCTCATTGTTCATGCCATTACAAAAAAAATAAAAAATAAGTCACTGGGGATATGCCCGGTATGCCCGATGGCCAGTCCAGCTATGTTAACCTGCAACCAAATCTGCAGCTCCATACAGCAATGTTACGACTTAGATTATATCTTATAACTCATAACTCTTATGTTAGCTGCCCTCTGTAGCATACTGTCTGAAATATTCCACAGCTGCAATAATTCTTTAAGTGTTATTTTTTTCCTTGGTATTCTAATTTCACCGAAGTTTACTAAACTCAACAAACTTGATATTACTTACCGGGACATTTATTCTGTCCTCATTTTCTTTCACCGAAAAATTGTTTCCTGCAGTGCCATCTTTCGCGCTTGGCTCTCCTACCTTTGCTAACGTGATGCGCATAGCGCAGAAGCGATGCTGCATTCACTTACACTCGGATATCTGAGCGTCACCGTGAAAACATAATCGGACATTTGATATTTGATTGAATTTTATTGTTTTGCCTTTGGGGTGGCACCTGGGGTGGCCAGTCTGGTTTGGGGGGTGGCCTGTGCCCCCCAGGCCACCCCGCTGGACACGCCATTGTGTGGGTGCACTTGTTTGTTGATTAATTGCTAAACTTATGACAGCACAAAACTTCCAACATAGTGGTAGGTTCATCGTCCTGTCAAGCAACATTTGCTATGTAAAATTAAAGTTACAGGGTGATTGATTTTAAATTTCTTTCTCTGTACAAGGTTAAATTGCCTCTGAAATACGTATATTCCAAAACTTATAGCAAAAATTGTGGAAAATTTGCATGTTAAGGTAACATGCAATCCATTTCAGGAGCATTACATTGCAAGATAGAACAACAATTAATAATACATGAATTTCCAATTATCTTGTAAAATATCACATAGTTGAAGTAATCAAAAGCAGAACATACCTGTTTGTTTGTTTGTTTGTTTGTTTGTTTTTGTTTTTTAATGAAACAAGAACTTTTCACGAGGCTTAATTAGAAAGGAAAGTTATGGCAGCGGTTTTTAAAATATACCTTCTCAATACCATAGTTTTTAATTTTGTACAAAAGAATAGAATGTTCCAGTTGTGAAATTTTAAAGTAACATAGTTAAATAGTTTATAAAGAACAAAGAAAAACTGAGATACAAATACAGTACTATTGCCTTAAAAGTACTGCCCAGACAATGAGCGGCTCTAGTGGAGATCTGCACTCTCTGAGTACTTCTGGTCTTTCTCTTTTATATTGAATTGTTCACAAACAATTGTTTTGTTTTTTTTTACATTTTTGATAGTTACTTGTCCTCAATAAATGGTAAGCTGCATTAACTGTTAGCTTTTGCATGTTCTCTCTCTGTTTTGTGTTTTGTTTTTTTTCTTCTTCATCTTCATCGGTGTCCTCTTGACCGAAAACATGCGAGTTTGGTTAATTGGATGGATAAGCATGGATTTTCATTAGAAGGAAAATCAATTATTCGTATCCTGCGTTAATCAAGGTAAATGCAACAGGAAATGTAGATAAAATAATTGATAATCTGTTGCTGTAGGGTTTGATTAAAACATCAAAAAGAAAACAGATTTATTGCAGGTTTGTTCGGGGAACACGTCATCATGTCATGATTTTCATCATTATCAGATGGTTAATAATTTATTTCAATAATTACGCAGAATGGTGTAATTAAGGTCAGTATCAGTAAGAAACGTGTTCAACTCGAGACAAACAAGATAAATGTCCTTCAATAACATACTGTTCTGACCAACACTTTTTTCAACTATTCTAGAAAATCCTTGTCTTTCTTTTCTCAGTAAGAACAAGCCGCCTCTTTGTAGAAGTGAATAAATAATCAGTGAAATGTCAACACAGTTTTGCTGCAGCTGGTAAACGTGCAATGAAATTTAATCTGCTGATTTGGTCTCGTCAGTACTGTTGTGTTGGTTAACAATGTAACCTTAGAGGAGGAAGGTCCTGGGTTTGATTGCAGGCTGGGGCCTTTCTATGTGGAGTTTGCACCTTCTACCTCTGACTAGATGGGTTCACTCTGGATGCTCTGGCTTCCCTCCCACAGTCCAAAGACACACTGATGGATAGAAGATTTGGTGTTGCATTCACATTGGCAAACAAAGTAATTTTTTTGGCTCTTCCACATTTTGTCATAAGCACAAGCTGGACATTTGCTATATATTTTATCACCATGTATATTCATATAAATTCAAATGCAGGCCAGAAAGTTACAAATGAAAAGAACCAACTCTTGCCCTTCCGAAGGTTTTATTGATTGCTTTTAACTCTTCTATCTAAAATGTTTCCTGTAATAATTACTTAAATCCTGTTTCTTAATAATAAATACATAAATGGCCTGCATTTGTATAGCGCTTTTCTAGTCCCTAAGGACCCCAAAGCGCTTCACACTACATTCAGTCATTCACCCATTCACACACACTGGCGATGGCAAGCTACATTGTAGCCACAGCTGCCCTGGGGCGCACTGACAGAGGCGAGGCTGCCGGACACTGGCGCCACCGGGCCCTCTGACCACCACCAGTAGGCAAACATGGGGTTAGTATCTTGCCCAAGGATATTTGGCATGCAGCCAGGAGGCAGCCTGGGATCAAACCACCGACTTTCTGATTAGTGACTGACCTGCTCTGCCACCTGAGCTACAGCCACCCCAGAATAAAAACATATTACTACAGTGTCAATACAGATTACATTGCATGTGATTTCTATACAGTTAGCTTTTCTATAATTACTGAATAAAAATCTTACCAATGCAATTAGTGCAACATATGTTTTGACAACTTTATATTTCAGCTATGTGTTATTTCACCATGCTGTACTTTTCTATATATTCTATAAATACTATAGATATTACATCATAAGTAGATAAAATATTTGCATGCAAATTCTACATAAATAATAACAATATAATATAAATTAAATACATCAACAACAGATTGTTGTACAAATGACTGATCTTAAAAATTAGAAGTATATCTGTTTTGCATCCATCTAAATTCAAAGCATTACACATCCCCCCCCTTTGGCTTCCACATAATTAGGGTCAAGGTCATTGGGCAACTTCCCCTTCTCTCCCCAGATATTCAGCTCTCCAAACACACCAGTCTCAATCATTTCCTCCTGCCAGGGTATTGGGACGTTGCCGGACGCAAAGTCATTGTAGAACTCAGCGTCCTTGTCATCCAGGACCACACCTTTGATTGTGCTGAAGGCACCCACATCATCAATATCTTTGGCATAGACCATTTTAGGATCGGGGACAAATGGTGGAGGTAGCATTCCTTTAGATGAAACACAAGAGATAAACAAATGAGCATCTTTTTGTTGCATCGTTTTCAATAGACATGTAATTAGGAAATACGTGCGCTTGTCGATGATATTTTTTCATCACCTGCTTCTAGACGTCCCCAGTTAATGTCTTTGAAAAATGGTTGATTCTTGAGCTCTGCGCACTCGTTATTTTTGAAGCCCAGTCGTTTAGTCGGGTCCTTCTCCATCAGGCCCTCGCAGATGTCTTTGCATTCTTTGCTGAATTTTGGTGTGTAAGAAACTGGATCATTTAGAATTCTGCGAGCTACCTCTTCATTCTCGACCTGAAGAAACAACATTATATACATTTTATTAGGCACAGAGAACCGTCAAGAAGGACAAGCAGGAGAAGAGAGGATGTATGTAAAGCACCTTTTCTCCTCGTACTCTAAAAGGTCCTTTGGCAGCAATCATCTCATACACCGTGACTCCCAGAGTAAAGTAGTCCACAGAGTAATCATACTGCTTCTTCTGAAGCAGCTCTGGTGCCATGAAACCTGTATTAACATGTAACACAGTTTCACACACAATAGTCCAGAAATGCAATCTACGTGTTGGTAAAGATGTTTGAGCTGGCAGCATTAACCTGAAGGCTACACGTTTTTCTCCAATATGATAGTTTTTACCCCTCAGCCCTGAAAGGCTTATGTGGGCAGATGGGCATTCACCCAAGTTTGTGAATGCACAAACCCGAGAACAAGGGAACATAAGATTTTAAAATTGATATCAAAGGTTTATCTAAGGAGGCTGATAAGTGCAACTTTATCTTCAGGTATAACAGGAGTTAAATGACTTACCTGGAGTCCCAGCATATCCAGAAGTTGTATCTTTTCCTGGTGGAAGTTCAACAGCCAGACCCAAATCTGACAGGCGGACATGTCCTAAGTAAAAAGGCTTTGATTACAGCAGTAGCATATGGACACAAGTTTGGACATCATTTACCTACTGGTCATTTAGGGCTTTGTGATTGGGCGCTACCTGCATGTGATTTCTCTTTAGGGTTGTTTTTTTTGTTGTTTTGTTTTTTAATCTCAGGACAGGTTTGGACAGAGACTAAAAGATTTTGGCAGTGAACTGACAATATAAACAGACAAATGGAAAACAGATTAAGTGTTACAGTCTTAATTCCTTACCTGCATCATCAAGAAGTACATTTTCTGGCTTCAGATCTCTGTATACGATTCTGTGCTGATGAAGGTGTTCCAGCCCACAGATGATCTGAGCTGTATAGAAACATGCTCTCTTCTCATCAAAACCAGGATTTTTTTCATCGACGTTGTACATGTGAAACCTGCAAGAAAGGAAATAATATTGACTTTTTTTTTTTTACAAACTTATTTGTCGAGATGAGGGGAGTGGATCCTTCACCCGTGTTAACTACAGGAACTAGCACGTCATAGTCTAGCAAGTCATAGTGTTTAGGTTGATGTGTGCATATTTTTGCTGTAACTGATTTTGATCTAGCACCTTAAATCACCACCATTCATGATGGTCATAACCAGGCAAAGGTCTGTCTTGGTCTGGAAGGCATAAGCCAGCGTCACAATGAACCGACTGTGAACTTTTGCAAGGATGCGCTTCTCCACAATTGCTCCCTAAAGAGAAATTAAACATTAGCAAACATGATTAACGCAACAAAACCAAGAATGTGCAATGTCAGGAGGCCCTACATCTAATGTCAAGCCAAACAGATAATTTGTATTATTTTACTTCTATAAATTAATAATAGGTTGTTATACACAGGTCCATGTAAGCCAGAGAGATTCATTGCCCCCTTTTTCTCCATATATGACATTCTGTCTTACTACTGCAGGAAACCTAAGAAGCAACAAATACTATTCATAATGGCTTTTGTACACTTCAAAGGACGCTTTGAAGGTTAACTTTCGGATTCTGATTTCTTGACACATTGCAGGTAAAGTACATAAAGCTATGTGCATGTGCAGCCTGTGCTGAGAGCAAATCAACCATTGCTGAAAACAACTGTTTAGCTGTATATGTTCATTACAACTCTGAATGCTTTCTTGAAATAATGAGCCGCTTTGTGAAGTCTTAGCATTTTACCTCATAGCCTTTGCGTTTCTTCAGCCTCTTTTTGTCTAGCTTCTTGTTCGCATACATTTTGCCTGTTGCCTTTGCCTGACAAGCAAACACTTCGCCAAAACCTCCTTTACCCAGTACCCGGAAGTCCATGAACCACTCTTCATCAAACGGCTGGCTCTCCATCCATTTTAATTGAGCAAAACGCAGGAAGTACATGCTGTTCTTAAAGCCATCCACGGCCGCTTTTTCCAAGTGCTTGAGCAGCTGTTGTTCACTCTCCTTAAATAAGTCACCACGGACATTCTTGAGGTCTTCTTTAACTCGAATGATGGCCTTTTCCTCTAGGAACGTGCAAAAATTCTTTGAAGCTGATTGATAGTATTTATTGACTATCAATTGAGCCTTCTGCAGTCTGTCCTTCTCTTGGCACACGACATATTCTTCAATGTCTTTCCACAGCTCTCCAGCATTTTTATGGGTTGCATCACTCTCCAGATATTGCTGGAAGAGACGCTTGCCGATGGGTTGCTTGACACACATGCTGTCAAAGGTGGTGTCTAGTGTTGCTTTCATGTGTTCACAATTTCTGATATGTGGGAGTTTCAGTCTGGCACGCATCTTTTTGTCACGCAGCGCAGCTGCTGAAGCTCCATCCGTGCTGCCACGGGCTGACACATAGGCAGAGTTTGCCACTACAGTCTCCAAGCCACCGATGTCCATGGCTACACCTTTGTCTGGCAAATGAAACCAAAAATGTCATTAAAAGTGCTGATAATAAGATTTTACTACATTAAAGGGGTAGCTAATGAAGATCAGTCTCTTTTGTAACACTGTCTTGAAAACTCTCATATCATTCACTAGACTATATTACAATTCTGCACAATTTTAAATAAATATTCTAACAAAAAATAGAACCCATATTGCAAGTTGCAACAATGTTTAAAATACAAATAAAACAATGCAATGATTTTCATACATTCATAAACCAATATGCATTCACAATAGACCAAATAAAACATCAAATGTTTAAACTGAGAAAATGTACAGTTTAAGAAAAAAAAACTGAGGCAGATATAGATTTGATGGCACACCTCTATTGTAACGCTGTAATAGATGCAGTATGCAGTTTAGGACTGTCCTACTGAAATATGCAAGACCTTCCCCTGAAAGGACACCGTTTGGATGGAAGCATTTGTGGTTCCATAAGCACTAATGCACCCCAGACCATCAGAAGTGCTCGCCTTTAAACTGAGAGCTGAATACAAGCTGGATGGTGCCTCCCCTGTTCACACCAGAGAATGTGACATCCATGTTTTCCAAAAGATCATTTCAAATTTCAATTTCTCTGACCACAGAACAGTTTTGCATTTTCCTTGGTCCATTTTAAATGAGCATTGGCTCAGAGAAGAAGGTTACTTTTCTGGATCATGTTCACGAATGGCTTCTTTTTTGAGTGATGGAGCTTTAACTTGAAGTGTGTTCACAGACAGTGATTTCTGAAAGTGTTTCTGAACCCAGTCAGTGGTAATGCCTTTTTTTAATGCTATGCTGCTATGGGCCTGCAGATCACAGTAATCCAATATTTGTTTTTGGCCTTGTTCCTGGCATACAGACATATCTCTAGATTTTGAATCTTCACAATTTTTCATTGAGGAACATTATTCTGAAATTGATACACAATCTGTAGTCTCTTGCAAATCTTGGAACCTATGCCCATATTTACTTCTGAAAAACTCTGCCTAAGATGTACTTTTTATATCCAATCAAGTTACTGACCTGTTGCCAGTTAACCTAATTAGTTTTTCAGTGTTTAGTCAGCTGTTTCTTTTTACTACCACTTAATGCTTCAGCATTTTGTTGTTCTCGTCCTAACTCATCACGATAAGGTTGAAGCGAATCAGAATAAGTTATCTTATTCCTTTGTAAGCTGCCGGGGTAGTGTCGGAGTAGCTGTGTGCCATCTTAAATTTAAGTAAACGCTAAACAATGATCCTAAAAATGTATTATCTGTTTCTATATTAATTTAGGTATGTTGTATGTAGGTAAGAATCATTGATGGTGAAAATATTAAAATGCTGTTATATGCTGCTCCCTGCTGTTCAAATGATAAAAGTGAATGATGAGGACTTCTGACAGTGCTAAACTTGGGGCGCTACAGCTGCATGACGATACAGTCACACAGGCAAAGGATTTCGGGGACCTGCATTTTATATAGACATAAATCTCTATATATTATAGAGTGATGTAGATGGTGTAGATTTATGTTAGGGGTAACATGAACTGCAAAATATGCTTTATGGATGCAGATATTAAAATGTCATATTAAAAGTATGACATTATTATTCCAAACATTCAATAGATTTTTTACTCTATCAATGAATAAATCTATGCCCAACTGAAATAAGAGTTTTGAGAACGACACAGATATTTGGTGATTTAAAAATCCAATTTTCTACACCGGTTTTCTTTCACACACATGAAGCAAAAACAGATTTTGCTAACATTTGGTATGGGTTCTTATTTATTTACTCATATATGCTCTGACTGGCTGCTCAGATTAACTCATTCTTATGTTTGTGGCGGTGCAAACATTTATGCCCTCTGGTGGACAAACTATAAAACATCAACACTCATAACACGGTTGAAGCATGTTTCTTCTTCCCTTTCTTCCTTTCATCCATCCATCCATTTGCTTTCGCCTATCCTTTCCAGGGTCACGGGGGGGGTGCTGGAGCCTATCCCAGCAGTCATAGGGCGAGAGGCGGGGTACACCCTGGACAGGTCGCCAGTCTGTCGCAGGGCCTTTCTTCCTTTATTATTTTTTATTTAACGGCTATCATAAATGCTGATAACAGTACATCGGCGGCAGATAACTAACATCAATCAGTAACATCAGCTTGTTAATAAATTGAGCTCTAAATCAATCAATCAATCAATCAATCAATCTTTATTTATAAAGCACTTTTCATACAGAGAAAATGTAGCACAAAGTGCTTTACATAGTTAAAAGCAGCCCACCCCACCCTCCAACTCACTCCCCACACTCTCAATACACATATATCCCCCACCCACACACACATACACACACGCGCACACTTAAAGAGTAAAAATTGGGCTGGGCTCGCATGAGCCAAGTGAGGAAACACTATAACAGGGAGCCGTCTGCACCGGGAGCCGGTCACAGACCGCAGCCTCCAGGCTGGGCACACAGCAGGAGGGAGGCAAAGGAGCCCCCCAGCCAGGCTGAGAGGACCCCAGAGACCCAGCAGCCACGGTCAATAACAGCCCCGGTGCAGAGAGCGCCCTCCGAGGAAACACTGGAGATATGACGCAATACAATATATATAGGGTAAAATGATAAAATAAATAAGAACAGGATACAATATAAATATAAATAGAATAAGAAGATTAAAAAACGAATAAGAATAAAATCAAACAAATATTAGGTAAATCCTAAATTAATAATAGAATAACAGGATAGAATAAATAAGCATAAAATAAATAAACGCTAAGTAAAAGCTAAATTAAAAAGGTGGGTCTTGAGCCTGTTCTTAAAAACATGTACGTTCTCTGCGGCCCTGAGCTCCTCCGGCAGGCTGTTCCACAGACGAGGACCATACCACTGAAACGCTGCCTCTCCGTGAGTATGTGTCCTGACTTTAGGGACAATCAAAAGGCCAGTACCAGAGGACCTCAGGGTCCGCGAGGGTTCGTATGGTAAAAGCAGATCTGAGAGATAAGAAGGCCCAAGACCATTAAGACATCATTAGATGTATTTACTCTACAGCAGTGGCGGAGCGGGGGGGGCTTACTGGGCTTAAGCCCGGGTTGCTTTTTCAGAAGCCCGGGGTCTTTTGGGGTGTAATTTTTTCATAGTTAGATGCCTGGCTGACAACTGTATAAAACAAAAGTTTGACCAGGTACCAAAGAAAATCATTCGTACTGTACAAATAATGTAAATATGACGGTGCATCACAAAAGATTGATATCAAACTGATCACTTGACCCATATTACGTTACTTGCTCTTCAAGTGAATCAACAAATGGCGAAATGAAAAGCCGAACAACAACAATGCTGTTTCTTAGCTTACATGTGTGTTTATTTCATATTTTCAGTTGTTACCCTCCACGGCTAAATAAATCGGTTTCAGTAATGCACTGATATACAAGAATGGACATGAGGTGCTTCTTTCAAATAAATAACTCTGGTAGATGTTATTTTATATATTATGCTTTGTATGTTGTTCAGTATATTCCTATGCAAAACAAGAGAAATTTCAATATACAGCAGTATAGTCACAGTTTAAACCAGATACTTACATACACTTTATGGAAAACAAAAAACATTTTTTTTACTGTACAACATCAAAAGAGAGAAACAGAGAGAGGAGAATGAGGACAGAACTGAGTGGGAACAAGAGCAGGTGAGACACACATGTTAGTCAAATGGTTGTTTACCAAAAGTATCACCGTATCATAGGTCCTCATGTATCTCGTACCAAGTGTTTCTTTTTAGGTTTGTTATTTTTCAAATTCTATATTTATTAAGTTTTGCAGGCTTGTTTGCACAACAAGGCTAAATAATTATATAAACTTTTCTCAATCTAAATAGTGGACTTTGGTAGAATTAAACAATAAGTGTAGTGCAGGTCTATGATGATTTTTAGTGCTACTATCATCTAGTTCTGTTTCTGATTCTGTCTTGGTTAAGTCCTAAGTAGTCCTGATTTTGAACTGTTGTAGTCCTGTTTTAATTCCGGATCAGTTCTGGGTCTGGTTGAATTGGTGTGTAGTCCTCGTGTCTTGATACAGCCCTGACCTTGTTCTGCCTTGCTGCTTAATTAAAAAACTACGTAGTTTAAGGTGTCCTGCACATGTGATATATATTTTTCCCTATTGAACAAAACTCAAAACAGAGCCTATTAATCTTTGTCATTTCTAACCCCCCCAATCCCAATCCCACATACATACTACCCTTTAGGGCTAAGCCCCGGGTGTATCAGATGTCTGCCTCCTTAATCTTGGTTGTTGATACAGGGGATTTACTTATGCATGACCTCCTTGCTCTTAAACAGTTCTGTTAAGTAAATGTATGTAGCTATGCATATGAGGAAGAAACCCCGATGGTGCCAATACAAACTTTTATCTGATGATTCTGTACAGCCACTGAATAATATTTCTGGCCCATTTAATTTTGAATGTAGCTCTTTCAGTGCTATTTATAATTACTTTTCAGGTTTTAATTATTTTTATGCTTCAGTGTCACCAGCACTGACTTTTTAATGTACTGCAAAAGCAAATGTATTAACACGATAACTCAGAGACGGGAGAGGAAGTCATGACAGTATTTCAAATTTGGTCAAAAGTTGAATTGATGTTACAAATATTTGGTGCTTACCTGGTAAATTTCTTGAAACGACACAGATGTACGCCGCAACTTAGCTTGTAGAAGAAAAAAACTGGAAGAAAGTAATTTTAATGTATCATGTGACAGTTGAACAAATCTCATTAGGCTATTGTCACAATCAAAAAATGCACAATGGTTAATTAAAAAAAAGATTTTACTTTATACCTAGGTACATGATGAACTCCAACTTACCTTGTTTTAAAGCAGCAAATTAAATCAGAGCTTGAGGCCAACAAATTAAATCCAATTGAACGCCATCCAACTTATATTTTCCTACTATTTTACCTGTTTGCCTTCTATTAATTAGAATATAAGCACTAACGTACAGCTCTGGCCTGTCGGTGTCTTGAATAAACCTGCTCTCTCCTCCTCTCGTCACTGTGTGATGTGTTGGACAGGTCATTGTTTCAGGTTAAGGTTTACTTTGCACCTGAAATCCTCCTTCCTGGTGAGGATTACACCCTGACATTATTGGAGTGAGCAACTTGGCAGAAGCCACTGGTGAGTATTGGGGTGAGCATTTCAGACTATATTGTTATTTATAACTGTCCTGTTTTCCTTGTCCAAGGTACATTTTCATATGTGAATCATACCAATGAGAATTAGTGAATAGCATCATTACAAATTTCACAACAACAACACGGTGTATTGGCAGAAGAAGCAGGCTGGAGAGAAATAAAATGGATTATCTCCTCGGGGTGTATGCGAGAGCAAAACACCGCAGCATTTGTTAGTACAAACTTTGAGGAATGTTATTTCTGTATGACCTTAGCTTCATCAGTAAGCGGGATTTATACTCATTATGTATGTGAATTCAGATCTTTGCAGAAGCATTTTAATGCGCTCGAACAGGTGAGAAAGAGATTATGTGGGCACATGGCAGGTGATAGGATTTGGCAGGTTGTTGAGGAAATGGAGAAGAAGGATTTAGATCATCTACCTAAAGAGGACAGAATAAATAAATGAGTTGCTTGCACAGTGTAGCTGTTGGGAATATCGCCTTTGATTGAGCAGAAAAGTTAGTGTGTTGTAATACTATTCTTGTAATGTTGACTTAACTACACATTCACTACATTATGGGACTGCAAGCGGTTGCATTTCTTTTATTACAAAAGTATTTAATATCAATATAAAAACTGTTATCCTATTGATCTTTGTGCCAAGAACAAATAAATGCATTCAGCCTTCCAAAAGCTTAATTTTTTAATTGTTAATTTTTTGCATTATATGGGAATGGCCCTTTATCCCTTTATTTGATGAGATAAGCAGAGAGGAATTTTTACAGTTCACGATCTGATGTGGTGGCATAGTGCAGCCACCACAGCACTAGTTCTGTACGACTATATAGTGGCTCGATAAAGAAATAACAGTAATAACAGAAATTCTGGGCCTGTTTGGCTGTTTTAAGTCTCACTGTGTGCATCAAAACGCCCTCGGCACAAATCCTATTTAAAAGGGTTTGAGGTGAAACCGTTTTTACTGTCACGTCTAATCCAGCTCTGTGATGAAAACAAACAAACCCACCGACCCAGACGGGGAGGTTAATCAAACTAGTCCAAAGACCGTGACAGTCTAGAGGATCTGAACACTATGTTTTCATCTGTGAAATCAAAGTTGATGTCACAGAAATGATAATCGTCTGGAAAAACATCCGTCTTATCTGGGTTTTATGCTCAATCTTCCATTGTCCTGTCACGAGACAATTTGATCAACTACTATATATTCAATATTCAATACTACACTAAGACCATTTAATTAATTTTGTGTTAAGATCTCATTATATTTGCAGTGCACACACTTTGGAGCTGTTAGAATATTCGTGATCCTCACGCAGCTGAGCAGTAAGTGTTCTTCATCTGATTAAACAGAGATGTGATTAAAAACAGCAGTGGAAGTCACTGTTCTATCTCACGCAGTAATCTCTAATTGAGCTCAGCGGAGCTGCCCTGGTTACCTGGTGTTTCTAACTTTAACTCAATGACACACATTTTACAGTGAGGTCAGTGTCCTTAACAGAAAGGTAAATCTGTGTTTGCTGCAAAATTCTAAAATGTAAACATATAAGTCAAAAGAGGATTTACATCCTTTAATGTCATTAAATATGTTGCCTAAAGTGTTCACTCAGCCATCCAAATCATTGAATTCAGGAGTTCCAATCCCTTCCATCAGTCACGTAGGCGTGCAGACTGCTCCTGAAAGCATTTGTTAAAAAAAATGGGTCACTCTCAGGACCTCAGTGAATTCCAGCGGGGATACCATGACAGGATGCCACATGTCCAACAAGTCCAGTTGTAAAATTTCCTCACTACTAAATATTCCACAGTCAACTGTTAGTGGTATAACAAAGTGGATGTGATCGGCATAAACATCAACTCAGCCACAAAGTGGTAGGCCATGTAAAATCACAGTGCAGGATCAGTGAATGCTGAGGTGCATACTGTGTAGAAGTCACTAACTATCTGAAGAGTCAATCACTACAGACCTTCAAACTTTATGTAACCTTCAGATGAGCTCAAGAACAGTGCATAGAGAGCTTCATGGAGTCTGTTTCCATTAGTACCGTATTTATTTATTTATATAGCACATTTAATTACAACAGGAACGTTGACCAAAGTGCTGTACAAGAATAAAAAATACCTAGTAAAATAACCTATAATATTGATACCAAACATCAAATATGAATTAACAAATAACTCCGATGCTGTATTAAAAGCCAGTAAATACAAATTAAGATAAGATTTAAAAAGATTGACAGTAGGAGCCTGTCTGACGTGTAGGGGTAAACTATTGCACAGCTTAGGCGCTACAACTGCAAATGCTCGATCGCCCCTATGAACCAGCCTCGACCTTGGTATGGCTAAAAGCAAAAGATCTCTTGATCTAAGACATAGGTGTCAAACTCTGGCCCGTGGGCCAAATTTGGCCCACAGCCTAATTACATTTGGCCCGCAAAGCCATAACAAATTACTATTAGAGCTGGCCTACTGGTATTATACAGCTAATATATATATATATTGTTTAGTATTAAGCTTTGCTTGTTCCATATTCACATTTTCAGCAAAACTTGTTTGAGTCCATAAGAAAAGATTCATTCTCATATCTGGAGGAATAAATATATTTCAATAAATATTAACGTTAGCCCGCGACTTTGTTCCAGTTTTGAATTTTGGCCCAATGTGTGTTTGAGTTTGACACCCTTGATCTAAGAGATCTGGTGATATAGTGAAGCAGCTATATCACCAAGCACAATGCAACGTTTCAGATGCAGTGGTGTAAAGCATGCCGCCAAAGGCCTCTAGAGCAGTGGAGATGTGTTCTCTGGAGTGATTAATCATGCTTCTTCGTCTAGCAATCTGATGGATAGGTCTGTGTTTAGCATTTGCAATAAGAACGGTACTTGTCAGAATGCATTATGCCGAGTGTAAAGTTTGGTGGAGGGGAGATTATGGTGTAGGATTGTTTTTCAGGAGTTGGGCTCAGCCCCTTAGTTTTAGTGAAAGGAACTCTTTCACAAGACATTTTGGATAATTTCATGCTCCCAGAAAAATTCCCATAAACACACTCCTAAACCTTGTGAAAGAAAGACTTGAAGCTGTTATGCCTGCAAAGAGTGGGGCACATCTTATTAAACCCTATAGAACCTATAGGTTAACAATGGGATGCCACTCAAGTTTATATGCATGTGAAGGCAGACAAGCAAGTACTTTTGGAAATATAGAGTACATTTAGAATGGATGGAAACCTTTCTTGTAGTTGTTTTTTTTTTATACTTTATTGATCCCCGTGGGGAAATTCCTCTCTGCATTTAACCTATTCACTCAGTGAAGCAGTGGGCAGCCACTGGGCGCCCAGGGAGCAGTGTGTAGGGACGGTACCTTGCTCAGGGGTACCTCAGGGTAGCTGTTCAGGGAAACAGCTTTCAGTTTGGTGTATCTGACATACTATAGTATGATAAACCTTCTGAGTTCTGAAGACATGGATATTAACCAGAGCAATGACCTTAGTTATAGACACTATTTGAAGAAGCATTAGGATAAAGTCAAAAAAGTTGGCCTGAAGTTCTTACAGATTTATTGCCAATAATATAACACATACACAAGTGTTCACAGCCTTTGCCATGATACTTAGATGTATCCTGTTTATACGGATCATCTGACAATTATTTCTACAAGCTAACTGGAGTCCACTTGTGGTAAATTCAGTTGGTTGAACATTAGTTGGTAAATGCACATACCTGTCTATATGGGGTCCTATCACTGACAGTGTATGTTAGAGCACCAACCAAGCCATGACGTCCAAGGAATTGCCTGTAGACCTCAGAGACAAGATTGTATAGAGGCCTTAATCTGGGGAACTGTATAAAAAAAAAAACTGCAGCACCGAAAGTCCCAATGAGCACAGTAGCCTCTATCATCCACAAATGAAAGAAATTTGGAACCACTAGGTCTTTTTCTAGAACTGGCCTCCCAGCCAAACTGAGCAATTGAGGTAGATTGCTCTGAGATTGATTTCTGTTGTTTTAGTGTAAGACTGGGGGCTGTGGGAGCACTGCAGTTTCAAATTCCTGTGTATGACCTGAACAAATGGTTTTTAACAGTAAAGCTGACTTTGACTTTAGGAAGGACCTGTATTGGGGAGGCAACTAAGAACCTCATGGTCACTCTCACAGAGCTCCAGCATTGCTCTGTGGAGAACCTTGCAAGGCAACTGATGGACTCTCAGACCACAATAAACAAAATCTGGTCGGATGAAACAAGGATCAAATTCTTTTTCCTGGCCAATATCATCCCAGCACCACATCTCCATCTACAATGATGGTAGCATCATTCTGTGGGTATGTTTTTGTTTTTTAGCCACAGGAACTGTGAGAAAAATATCAAGGTTGGAAAAAGGAAGGGAAAAGACCACAGACTGGGTCAAAGTTAATCTTCAAACCACCTTAAACACAGAAATAATAACAAAGGAGTGACTTTGCAACCAGAGCCAAGATTTGAACCCGACTGAACATCTTTGGAGAGATCTCAAAATAGCTGTGGAACAACACTCCCCATCAAACATGATGGAGCTTGAGGGGTGTTGCACACTTGAATTAAAATGAATTGAAACCAGTGTGGCTTTGTGAGTTCGCCTTTACTGCATCTGCAAATATATACATGGACATAGCACAGCGTTACACACTTTTGCAGTCTCACATAACGCTTATAGGCGCACTGCCTTATGGGTAGTGGCTGGCTTCTTTACTCCCGCTAGAGCTGCTCATTTTAGGGGATACTCCCTCTTGTGGTGTAACGGAGGAATAACTACGCTTCCTGCACTATGTCATTTTTGGAGACTGGGGCACACATTATTTTACCACAATCAAAGAAAATACAGATTTGAACAATCAGACCATTTAACTAACTACAATATTGTCACTAAAGATTATGGGGGGTGTCTTGTTTTGTCCACAATGTCTTTCTTGTCCTTACAGAGGTTCTGCAAAGAAGAATGGGAGAAACTGGCAAGCTTGTATCATCATACTATTTAAAAAAAAAAGTAATTGATGCTTCAACAACATATTGAACAAAAAAATCTGAAATTAACTGTTAACTGTGTATTAGGTCAGTGTTTCCCAACCACCTTTCCGCGAAATGATCAGATGTGCCGTGGAAGATTATCTGGTTCCACCTTAGTACTGTAAGCAATCGGCGTGAATAATGGGCAGAACAATTACATTCTCTTCCACTAGAGGGCAGTGTAACTACCTTCTCTAATTAAATGGGTTGGCAACTTGCAGTAAAACAGAAGAAAACGAAGAATTAAAAAGTCATTCTGTGAGATGACGCAGTGCATAATAGCAATAGATAAAGTAGGAAAAAGTAATCCGTCTGACCTGGGTCCTGGAGAAAATTCCGACCCAGATGAAGGCCCTTGCATGAGTAGTGTTCAGAAGAAAGCATAAAGGTATACTGTGGGGACAAACCGAGCCAGTTCCACTATACCTCGTGTGCGGGAAAAAAATATTACATGCTTTTTGTGACATTTTTGTTTGGTGGTGTGCCGTGTGATTTATTTTTCTAATGTGAAATATGTTGAGAAACACTGTCTTAGGTAATAGTTCTTATTTTTTCCTTTTAATTGTGGCTGGATGCAAGTAGCTCTGATAGGATTTATCCAAAAACTATCACATCAGGTAATTCAAAACAATGGGTGAACTGGTCACCTGGTCGATCCAATCTAGCGCCAGCAATCGTTGATCCAATCACGTCTGTCTATTGTGACTGTTGTTAACCGAGCACAAAGATTAAGGACCAAATTCAGTGGCTGAGCAGAGACGCGTTACATGAACTACGTAGCACGCACCAGTAGAATCTCTAACGTGAGATGTTTAGGGGCCAGAAAAAGTGTACGATGAAATTTCAAGGCAACAACATGCAACTGATGGATAGATATTTAACAAGTATGGTGGTAACTAATATGGTATTTAACAGCATTCTGTTTATATTTTTTAATGTCCATTTATTTTATTTTAATTTCACTGCGCATTTATAAATCTCCAAATGGTTGTTGTTGTGTATAAAAAAAGAATTGGTAGCACGGGTAAATATGATTTCACGGAACAGAGAAATAAAATGAAATCACGCATAAGTTGAAATTCTCTAAATACCGCAATTGGATATGTCTGCTTTGTTGCTGCCTTCAGCAGATGAGCGATTTTTCTTATTTCGTGTATCGAAATTTTGAGATTACGAGGCGCATTGAAGTACTCTTATGTCTTCTTTGTATTGTACTCAGCTGTCGTGGTTTGTACGGATGTACAGTATGTGGGAGGGGGTAGCTGCTTAGCAAACGTCCAGTGATGTGAAGAACGAGACAGACTGGAGGCCGGTCTCAAGCGTACATCTGTCGGCCCGTCGGTGGTCACTCGGTCGGTCTATCGCGATGGATTTCGTGCTGAGCGGAGTGGCGGCATGCGGCGCTTGTGTGTTCACCAACCCGCTGGAGGTCGTCAAAACTCGCATGCAACTTCAGGGAGAGCTAAAGAGCCGCGGATCCTACCATGTGTATTATCGCAACGTCTTCCACGCTTTTTATACTATCGGCAAAGTGGAAGGACTAGTGGGATTACAGAAAGGATTAGTACCCGGGCTATGCTATCAGTTTTTTATGAATGGAGTCAGGCTCGGGTCGTACGCCATCATAGAGTCCTCGGGTTACATCCACACCAATGGAAGGGTCAACGCTGTCAAAACCACAGTAGCAGGGGCTATGGCTGGAGTGGTGGGAGCTGTGATGGGCAGCCCCATATACTTGGTCAGTAGCTGGCTTTGCCCACTTACCTTGTGAAAAGTTATTCAGGCGTGACCTTAAAGTGAACTGTGACTTTCACCTGTGGTCAATGATAAACTTAAATTGTCTCCACTGACAGGTGAAGACTCACCTGCAGAGTCAGGCCACCTCCTCTATCGCTGTTGGTCATCAGTACAAGCACCAGGTAACCTGAGAAAGTGAATGTGCGAATATGAGTGGGAGGCATCAACAGTGTCCTAAAATGCTGCTCGTCTTCACCACAGGGGATGACCCACGCCCTGGTTGCCATCTACAGAAATCATGGCATTCTGGGACTGTGGAGGGGCTCTAGCGCTGCAGTGCCGAGGGTCAGCGTGGGGTCGGCCGCTCAGCTGTCCACCTTCTCCTCCTCCAAGGAGCTCGTCATTGACCTGCAGGTTGGTGTGTGGCTCATTTGCTTTTGACATGAAAATGAGGTAGAAGGCGGCTCACAGAGGGAGTTTTGTTTCTTCACTACTCCACCATGTGTGCATATTTTCCATATGTCCACACTGTTTAAAATAAACATGACTGTTTTTTAGAGTCTGCTTGTATAGTGAGTGTCGGTTGGGTAACACATCTGAACACTCCTTATTTACATTCTTGTCTAATTACAAGACCAAAACAGTACTAGAGGCTTGAGAAGGTGATTTACAGTCAGTAGCTGTTTACAGGCTCCTAAAGCACCCGCTGTAACACTGACAAAGCGCTCTGTATTCCACTCCCCTGGGATGGAAATTCGACACCTTTTATTGGCCCCCTGTTGAAAACACAAGGCTTGCGTAACTAGAGCATCAGTCTGCATGATGTAAATCAGTGACCCAGCTCTAGTTTTAAAAAAAAGAGTTCCTTAATAAGAAATTCCCAAAAAATTATATTAGCAAAAATCCTTACATTTGTGTATACTTTTAATTTACTACTTCCTTGATTTGGCTGACTTACTTTACGCTGTCCCAACTGGTTGGTTGTGTGAGTAAGAATGGAGGTGGACTTGAACATACCTCCCATCATCTCAGCCATTACCTCATGCATAATTAGCTTTATTAAACCAAAGAAGAAGAACTTTGTATTTAGAATAGAAAAGAATAAAATTGCCCTTTGTTGTCATTGTACGTGTACAGCAAAATTGTGGGTGGTCCACACTAACTGTGCCAGAATAAAATAACTAAAAATGGAAAAAATTGGTAAAAAGTATAAAATCAAGAGCGATAGCTGAACTTCTATGACAGTCCGGACTATGACTAATTTGGGTGTTATTGTGGTCATTGGGCAATATATTGTCTTTCTTTCCTGTCCTCGTCAGTGAGTCGTGCTTTCCGTCTTTCACAGTGTGCTTCATAAGGATGGACAAATTGGCTAATGATTTCAAACAGATGGTGGGAACTGAAGCGGTGCATGCGGTTTTGGATTTGTCAAAAAATAGAAGAGACAAAATTATTGCCGTAGAGTTAAAAAAAAAAATGCTGACATGCTAGATTTTGAGTCAGGACATTGCAAGGTGTTGTGCAAAGCTCCCTCCATCATATGGGTTGTGCTACAGCCGGGCTGACACTATGCATTGACAGCTCTCTCTTCCATCATCATCAAATACCAAATAAGGGGATATCTTTGGGGAGTCCAGAAATTTCAGCTTGAAACATCAAATAGTTTCTAGATATTTGTTTAAAGGGTGTGCTTAAATATGGGACTGTAATAGCTTTATTATATTGGATGGTAAGAAAGACAAGTGAAAATGTCAGGCTTTTGTCTTTAACTGTTTTTGAGAAACTCGTGTTAAAGATTGCCTTGGATTTCAAAGTGTGACAAAACTTTGAAATGTATCGACGGATGATTTTTAAATTACAATATGTGTTAAACAAATAAAATTTCATATATCCAAACGTTGGGCTGTATTAGCAGGTGAATCGGAAGGTGCACGGTAACTTGAGATGGAATGACCTCGATAATAATAGAGCCTCCTTCCTCTGGTTCGCTGCACGTAACCGTGCAATTATGAGGAGTTAAAATTAGAAGTGGCTGCACACATGCTGCTATCTTGATAATGACTTATTCCTCTACTTCTACTGGAACCGCAGGCCCACGTGTGCACGCTCTCTAAACCTGTCCATCCTGTAATATTATTTTCTTCTGTTGCCAAGGTGTTTCCAGTGAACAGCTGGCTGGTGGCCCTCAGCGCCGGCATGATCAGTAGTGTGGTGGTGGTGCTGGCTATGACTCCTTTTGATGTGGTGAGCACGCGGCTCTACAACCAGCCCGTGGATCATTTGGGCAAGGTGAGCACAGGGGCCAGACTGGGGAAGTATGAAGTGAAGGGAAGATCCTAGCTCACGGCGTGGTTGATATGTTTTCATTGTATTCATCCTCTGTGAATCCCTCATTGTGTCATCTCCCATTTGTGTGGGAGAAATTGTTGGTCACTTGGCTCCAGGTTTAGACAAGAAAGATTGCTTGAACAAAAATACAAGGTGGGTGTAGAACAAGAACAATCACTCTCTTGTTTTTTAGGGTCAGCTCTATAAAGGATTTACTGACTGCTTTTCCAAAACCCTGAAGAAGGAGGGATTGACGGGGCTTTACAAAGGCCTGGGAGCGTCTTATTTCCGACTCGGTCCACACACCATTCTTTCGTTGTTTTTCTGGGATGAACTGCGCAAATTCTACCAGCCGTTCAGATAACACCCGGGACAAAGACACTGGAAAATGGGTAACTCATTATGTTCTTAGTGCAGAAGGTTAAATGAATCGTCGTTTAATGAGTTTATGATTATCCGGTGGATGGAAACACCTGAAGGTGTTCTAGAGCAAAGGTAATGTTTTACACTCCAGTTAAAAAAACACTTTAGAGTCAAATGTGTCAAGAATGAAGGTGAAAATGTTAAATTATTGAGCTGCTGAAGGATATATTAACTGCACTTGTCACATAGAACCATACAGTATGCTGTATGTCCTCCAGAGGAAATTCAACACTGTACCTTTTCTCTAGCTCTTAAACTCCTGCGTACTGAGGATACGAGGTCAATGTCCTATTTTTATTCTGTGTGACTGGGAATTAGGAAAATCTGATCGTGATACAAATTCCCTGCAGCAGCATTGTGCTTAATCATTTTGGCCTTTAGCAATTTCCGTCAAGCAACTTTGCCTTTGACTCATTAAAGCCAATGAGAACCAGTTGAAAACCAGTTGAAAACCAGCTGACTCACCAGTGAGTCAGCTGGTTGCAAAACCAAAACTTCTTTAAACTTTTTTTAGGTCTATGTGGAGTTTCCTAAACTTTCTAAAGACTGCAAACATGCCAGGCTCAAGTTTTGTGAACTGTATATAATTGAGCTTTGAGTTTGAGTAGGTCAAATGCATCCTAGAATATAGTTACTGTCAAACAGTATGTGGAGAAAAATGTTTCCCAGCCTTACAAAAGGATAAATATGTAACGTGGTTAAAGGCAACTCTAGGACAAAGGCTTTGTTTCAAAATGACTTCTGCAGTAGACAGATTTCCTCTTTAGGTGAAGAAAGAAAACTCCACTAACATGAAATATTTTAGGCCTCATAAACCAAAGCGAGTATCCAGTGGATCTGTCAAAAAAAAAAGGATGTGAAAGCCAATGCTCTCCCTAAGCATGTGGTACTGTATAATAGCAGGAGCCGTTACTCTTAATATACACATCAAAGCGGCTCCCTCCATTAAATTAGACAAACAACAATAACAACAAAAAAAACTGCACATTTTTCATTGCCATACATGACACATTTCATAAAAAGTATTGTGTTTAAACACTGATGGAGACTGGCCCCTTTTTTCTAAATGTAAATGGATTTATTGGAGTTTTATTCTATAACTGCACTGGTACATTTGTTGAGTGTGCAAGCGCGGGTTAAAGTATTTCACTGTCATATTAATTTATTTGTGACGTTGACAAAACATTCAATTAATTATTGCCCATGAGTTAGAAACCTTACTGCTGCTCTGCTAAAATGTCTTGGTTAATAAGCAAAAATCTGTTGGTGAAGCTAGTTGGTGAATAGTGTGCCTTAATAAACCTTTAGGAATAAAAGCGGTCTATTTTAATATGTTACAGACGTGACGTTTATCAGCTCGTCCACTGACTCCATCTGCTTGAGTTTTGGTTCTATGAAGTGTTCATAATTGAGCCCAACAGTCAGATTGCCATGAAATGGAAACTGTTGGTAACATTTTGAAGTTCCACAAAACTTTGTGGATTTTGATGCTTTCTTAATAAGTGTAGGATGCCCATGATTTTATTTATATGAGCATTATTAGTTATTCCCGACCACCTTTGAATGCAACAGCACAATGTGACATGTAACAAATGTACTGTAGCTCTACGAATAGAGTTCCCTGAAGTTTGTGACAGAAGGCAGGAAACTGTTATTTAAGTTTATTAAATATTATGAAGTTTTGAACTTCAAAAGAATTGAGTTTTGGCAATTTTTCTGTTTTTAAATGTGTTTTTCTTGATATAATTATGCTCATTTGTTCTTTGTATATGGTTCCTTATGGAGTTTTTTTTTGTTTTGTTTTTTTTTTTGTAAGGGAACATGATTTTTTAAATTTTTATTTTAATTGTTAAGGTGGTATTGATAGTAGAGATGGACCGATCCGATATTACGTATCGGTATCGGTCCGATACTGACCTAAATTACTGGATCGGATATCGGAGAAAAATAAAAAATGTAATCCGATCCATTAAATATCACGAAAGCACCTCACAAAACTTGCAACACGCCGTAACTCACCTCAGAACGTTAGCACGTCTGAGCAGTATGCCTCACGTGATAGAGCGCTGTGGCATGCAGGACCTGTTGGTGCTCTGGATAGCATTTGGAGCTTCGCTAGCAACCCGGCATTTCATCTCCGACAAAGTTATCCCCGAGAGAAGTAAAGCAAGTGTGTAAGTCCATCTCTGAATGTTTGTAAAGCATTCCTGCGTTAAGCTTAGCAAACGATATATGGAGCGACTGCCTCTTCTTGCTGCTACTGCAATCATGAAACTGCTTAACGATCAGCTGATCAGCTTTTCTGTCGCGAGTCCGTGTCTCTAGTTTGCTTTTGGCCCACTTTGCACCAGAAAGAGGAAACCAGCGGCTGAACAACAGAAGCACGTTTAAGCTTGATCAGCTGTTGTTAGAATGTATTTAATATTACTTTCTACGCGAGGATCTTTTTCTACGTAGCTGATGCTGGTAACTGTGCAGGGGCGGATCTAGCAAAGTTTAGCCAGGGGGGCCGATAGGGCATTAACAGGGAAAAGGGGGCACAAAGACATACTTTTCTTTCTTATTCTCATTTAAAATGTCAAGCTTTTAATAAATAATTATCTGACACCCAAAGTTTTAATTTGATGCAAAATGAATAGAAGTCCATTACTGTATATAGTAACTATTAAGTCTAATATATATACCCTAGTAAGCTATAGTACTTTTTCCTTTGGGAAGGTACCATCTGTGCAGTCTGCAATTTTGTTGAAGAAAGATGTTGAATCTATTTAATATTTCTTGAAAAATGATTGATTTCTGTGCATTTTTTTCACACTGCATCAAATTAAGGTTGATTACGTCGATTAAGCATCATGAGGTGGAGCGTGAGGGGTGGTTCCCTATTTTTTATTTATTTATTTTTGTTGTTGCTGGGAGTTGGAACCCTATTAGTTAGGTTGCTTAATATTTATGCTAAGTACTCTTTAAAATACCAGAATAGGGAGGATGGTGTAGGTTTAAGTTTATTAGATTGATCAGTATTGCTGAACTATGAAACATTTTTTTTGCATACAGGTATAACAGAATAGCTTTAGTGTAGTTGTTGTTTTAAACTTGAGTATGAACTTATACAAAATGCAGCAAGATATTTAAAAAACAGTTTTGTTGATTAAAAAACACTATATCGGATTCATATCGGTATCGGCAGATATCCAAATTTATGATATCGGTATCGGTATCGGACATAAAAAAGTGGTATCGTGCCATCTCTAATTGATAGGTGTATTAGGCAGCAGTGCGGCATATCCAAATACTGATGGAACAATTTTAGGGTGGATCAAAATATAATGGTGCTGTGGTCTTTGCATGGAGCCCAAAGGGAACATGGATTCTTCCACATCTGTCACTTCAGTGGTTTCATGAGACTTCTGTCAAACAAAAGTTGTGCCAAAAGTTGTGTCATTAACAATTACCAATCCAGCTCGATTTTATTACACCGCAGTTCAATACCTTAGCTTTTAGTTATGATAAAGTCAGATTACAGCAAACTGAGCTGTTTGAATGCAAACCTGTATTTGGACTTTTCTCTACAGTCTCAGTAAATAGAAAGATTAGTTGATAGTTTTAGGAAAAAAAACTTTAGAATTGATACAGAGGCCTTGGAAAGGGAGCGATTTGATGCTCAAACACTATAAATGCAAAAAAAACCGTATATGTATCAACACTTTTGTTTGGAAATCTTTCAGCTCATTTCTCTGTGTCTCTATTATACGATATTTGCCAAAGTTTAAACCTCATGACAGTTCTAAAAGTTATGTGTTATCGGTCATTTCATGGAGCAGCTTGGTTCAATTTCATGAATGTTAGAAAATAATTTTCCAACATGGTTTTTTGATATGTGGAATGGAAGTGAAGAGCAAATAAACTCAGACTTTTATTGTCCAACAGTGTGGTGGTTACTTACTTTGTTCAACAGTGTTGAAAATGTAAAATTTCCTGTGTGTTATTCTCAAACTTTACTGCATATGTCTTGTAGTACATTTATGTCATTTTCAAGATTTCCCACCATTGAGCAGCAGCAGCAGCTAGCTGGAGTTTCTTTTCCTTAAAAGAGATTAACTCACCGCTACATTGAAGAACTGGTAAAGTGATGAAGTTTCCCATCAGCTGGTAGAGAACAGAAAGTGCTGGACAAAATTTCTTAAATGACAATATCGCTCTGCTTGGCAGGTGACTTAAGAGGACTTATGAAGAAGTATGCTAACGTTTTCTAATTGGTAATGTTACAGTAGTTATTACTGGATATTTTTTTCTGCGTGACTTTCTTTGTGCATGACTGGATGTTAGTTGCACCTCCAACTGGAAGTTAAGGTTAACCTTTCTGTGAATGCCTGATATCATAGTTATGAAAATCACCTGTGTCAACCTGCAACGTGACTCCTACTGCAGGAAGTAGAGATAATTATGTGTACACATATGAAAAGGGCCTTTGGCATAAGGATGACTGAAGGTGGCGTGTCTTTAATACTGTACACTTTTACAAAAAATGACTGAGGAAAAACAGTTGACCAATATTTCACAGTTACACAATACTGTGCAAAAGTTCATGACAACCCTTATTTCTTCATATTTTGCTAGTGAAAATCAGGAACTTGCATGAAAATCCAGTGTAAAAAGCAAAAATAGAGTTTGTACAATTCTAACCTCGTCCATACATATTGATGATCTGAACTAAATAGAATATCGAATTTGATTTCATCTCTTCATAAGACCTGCTGCCACTGATTTTTAGTCCAGTCCTTGTGTAGTTTCGGATACTTATCACATGCAGAACTGAAAATGTAATCTACATGATACAGTGCCTATGCAATAAAATGAATATAGCAGAAACATCCTGCCCTCTGAAAGATCGAATTAATGAACACAGATGTTCGATCAAAAGGCTTGATCTAACCAGCCCTGTTGCAAGACACTTCAATGATAAACATCCAAATTCACCATTATTGTTTCTATGCATTGAAGCCATAAAACTAAACCAAAGAGGTGGTAATATTAACTTTATCCAGAAAAAAAGCATTTTGGATATTCCGCTTTAAGAGTCTGCACCCCAGAGGTATGAATGAGGATTTTTCTATCAATGAGTTTTTGTGAACTGAACCTTTTTTATGTTTTTATTCTAATTTTATCGGTTAAATTATTCTCGCATGGGTAATGTTTATTTAATTAATTTTATTTATTTTTTCAGCCAAAGGAGTAGCATTCTAGACATCTCATCTTAACTCTACATTTTAGAGATTTTACATTTTAGAGACATAAACTAGGACCTTTTAACAAATGTGTTCCTATGGGATGATGTCCTCTTGTTTTTTAATTCAACTGCTAGATGAACCTCTTTTTATTATTAAATACTGCCTTGTCCCTTTTTTTTGTGTATTCATAGTATTCTTCTTATGTATTTCACACATGTGTTATTTTGAGACAGGTGGGGATTATGTCTCCTCCCCTCCTCATCATTAATGATCTAGTCCAGTATTTACTTTTGCGTGACTTAACCAATTAATCATTACCTACCTGTTATATGTCATCTGATCTATCTATGAAGTTTTGATTGGTTAATTTTAATTTTTTTCTTTTTCCTATCTTGTATTTAAGCAATTTTCTACAATGTTTTACTATGACCCTGATGAAGGCCACAAGCCGAAACGCGTTGGTCAGTTATTAAAGTTGTTCATCTTCCCTTAAGTCTTGCTGGAGTTCCTGCATTGTGAATTCTTTCATCCTCTCCATGCACCTTGGAAGTAGGTGAAGTTGTGCCAGAAATTTTTGCTGTAGTTTCAGATACCTCAGCCAAACGAAAGTCTTCCTATAAAAAAGGGATGAGTGGCTCAAGTGTTCAATTTGCACTACATTTAAATCCATACTGAAATAAGGAACCTCATAAATTATAGTTATTAAATTGTTTATATAATAGGTTTTTGTGTTCTGTTGTAAAATAGTAAAGTTAGGAAATAACTACCTGAACAAAAACAAACACTGGTGGCTAAAAATACCTGAAGATCAAGTTAGATTACTGAACACTGTAAATATCCTGCAGATATGAACTTAAGCACTCTGACTGTGAGCTTACTGTGCGAGTGCCTCGGGTAAAGGGTACAAATTTTTGGAGACGCTCAAATTACAACACAAAATAATGAAAATATGATCAATATGTGATACCAACAGGAAGAGCAAAATCTATCACAAAAGTAATGTTTTTCTATTTTGTAAAACATAAAAGTAAAAAAATAAAAGTATGACCATATGAATATTCCTGTAATCTCAAAGTAGGGACTAATAAGTGATATTCCAGCAAAAGCTTCTGTATTTGTTCTCTTCAGCCCACTTTGAAATGGTTTGCGGTTTACTCAGCGAGTTTAATCTGGTAAACTTTAGTTTGATGTTGATGCAAATTTGAAATGGCTCAACAGAAAGACACAGAGCTGCCAGATTACTTAAAAATATTTTGTCATAGCCGCAGGCAGTGAAAATTGTTTCTGTGAGAATAAAGTCATTTTATTTGAATCCCTGGTGGTCAACAAAGTATTTTTTCTATCCCCTTAGGTCACAATAACCTAAAACAGACATAATATTTCACACAAAACACGTGACAGTGGCATTTGGACATATTAAAAAGGAAAAATCTGTAAACATTTACTGCTACTTTGGCTCCGTACTTGACAGGCCAACCTCAGGCACAATATAATAACAGGCAGCATCATCACTGTGCTCTACACTGTCTTCTTTGTAGTGCTGACAGCGCCGGCCTTGTAGCAGAGGATCTGAGCCAGAAGGACACAGCTGAGACAGGCTGACAGTATGTGTGACAAACTCACAGGAGAGTTTCCATTTTCCTATAAAAAAAGTTTCAAGTTGTTCCAGTTAGTATAACCACAACTATGCGGTTGTGCACATATGTCTGCTAGTAATTCTTAACTGCATACCTGTAAAGAAACAAAGGCCACACCCAGACAGCCTGCAAATGAAAGCAACACTGACAGAGTGGATAGTTGACCCGTGTGGCCGTTGTGATAGTTTGTTGTAGCCTGGAGAACCTGTAAATAACAAATCCACTAAATGTGTTCACCGTGCACTTAAAAAAGAAAAATTACAGTTCAGTGATCACATTTATCATAGAACAGCTCATAAATGAGGCAAGTTGATAAGTTGCTACCTTGCTTGCAATGAAAGCCGCCAAACTGGAGGCCTGTATCACTGAGATGACTGCTGCTGCTGCATAGGAGCGCAGGAGGAGCATTACACCACAGAGAGCAAAGAGGAGCAGAACTCCTGCAACAGAAACAGAAACCACAATTATATATGAAGAATACAGCAACACCACAAGGTGGCGCTATTTGAAAGCACAGCCACCCTGTCCTTGAGGGACTTTGTTCAAACCCTACAATCACTACATCACTGTGTTGTTTTTTCCATGTTCAGATATAACAGCTCCAAATATAACACTTGGAGAATCTGGCTGATTCTGCATGACCACAAAAAACACAGAGGTTCTTTAATGCAATTCAGACCCTGCATGACCGCAACTGATTCCTTAAAGTGTCACTCAAAGTTCATTTCTGTGAAGAAGCAGCCAAGTGCTGGAGATTTCCAATAGTTTCACATTCAAGTCATAAATATCATGCCTTAACCCGCTGATTAACTCCTGGAGTCAATCCAGATCCGGGCATTGTTTTAATTAATCCTTTACCCCTGAGAAATAGGGCCAAAAAAAAGCAACTGTGTGTTAAATCTCCAAAAATCAGTATCAAATTGAAAACATAAAAACTGGGGGACACTGTCTTAACTGTCACTGTCACCGCTTAATTATTTGTATTAGTGTGGAGGGACCTGCCTGCCTCGGTGAAAGTATGTCATGTTGGACTGCTCTTTGTACTCTGCCTCTGCAAAATCTGCAGATGCATGTGCTCACCTCGGACCGTATCACCGCGATAATGGAGGATGAGGAAGACGATCGCCACTGTCTGGGCAAGCATGAAGAGCCTATCAGCCCAGGCACTGTTGAACAGTTCAAGTGAAATACATTTAAGGTAGCACAGAAAGAAAAGGTAAAAAAATTAAGTCACCCACTGTGTTTAAGTTGAGAGGATTTGGGGTGTGCCTATGCAGGGCTTGAGCAAGTGAGTCATGCATGATGAACAGACTGAGAATTTGAACTTGAGTGGTGTAAAGCATGGCATGAATGGGAAATCCTACGAACGGTGTGATCTGCGCATCAGCTTACTTACAAGAGTGGGAAGTTGTTGGCCATAGTGTACACAACAGGACACGAGAAAGCATAAAGCTGCAAGAAGAAGGCGCTAAGACTCAGACCCTCTGCACTTCCTCCCCATAACATCTTTATCAACTGAGGCAGTTGTGCTGCATGGAAACAACAGGGAATCAGGTGACATTTGGTCATTAGAGGAGAAATTAATGGTCCATATCTGGACCAACATGAAAAAGACAGAAAGCACTCATTGCAAGTCAAACATCTGAGTCAGTCAGCGTCATTCTAAAATTGGGCCAAAATGCAGACGCAGAGAGGTAAACTGAAATAAAGAAAAAAACGAGCCGCTTATCAACTGTTTGCAGGTCGTCATAAAAGCAACACACGAAGTCAAAATGGGGAAACTCAAAACGATACACTAGTGAATCATAAAGCTTGAACACACACACTGGGGGGAAGTGAACAGAAACTCTGATAAAGGACAATCACCTCTCTGTGTGTGATTGAGGCAGAGAGGAGACACGTGGGGGGGACACAACTAATCCAGATCACACAGGAGGAGACAAGGAAGGCAAAACTAAAAACAAAACATAAGGAACAACTAACTAGGTGAGATAACTAATCGAGGGGAAGAGTTTTTAGACTAAATGTGCTAAAAACACACAAACCAAACATGAACATTAAACAAACTAGGAATCAAAGAGAATATTAAAACCTGAAAGTCTAAAATCTTAAAAATCCCCAGGACCACACAAGTGGAATGACCTGTGAAAGTCAAGGATAAATGTAGTTCTATAAATAAAGGAGGGAAACTGAAAATATTTTGTCTTTTTTGGTAATATGAGTAACAGGGTTGTATTGGTCAAAAGGACACACTCAGTGTGGTCACAAAAGACTAGAAAAATACTGGCACTGAAATTTGGTGTACCCATGGTGTTTGTACGTGGGCTTGATCATGTCTATTTATACTCTTCATTTCCCAGACTAAAGAGGTTACAGTAAGCAGGTTGCGCATGCATTCTGGGACACAATTATTATTATATTAACTAAAATGGACCTATGTCAACAAAATCAAAACAAAAAACAAGCAAGCAAAGAAAAAAGTGGATTTACTCAACTTATTTTGGCTTATATTAAACATGTGAATTAGTTTTAAAAAGTTGGGAGAGTAGATAAAGATGCAATTTTGGTTTGCAAGAGGCATATGCATTTTAAATAGCATACTGGAACCATTTGTTCAGCTAGATTTACATTTTGCATCAGAGCAGTGTTTTATGCTTAAGAATTTTGTGCATGGATTATTTCTAAATTCATGGGTGGGACTGAAAATGTCCTGCAATTCTGATTGGCTCACCTGTACTGAGAGCTGCCTGTGACAAATTTAGAATTTTTGGAACCGTCCCCCTAAAAAAAGCCACATGGTAATAACCACATAAATACGCAAATATTCATGTGCATTGTGCTGTGGCATGAATCCGTTTCCCGCCGTCATTTGTTTCTGCATTTTGCATGAAGACGACATGCTAATGCGGTGGCTTAACCGCTTGGCCAGATGTTATCTGCACCAGCAATGAGGGAGTCTTACAAAATGTTATGTTGATTTGATTATTATCCATCATGATTATCGTGTAAAGGGAGGTTAGAGGGAGGAAAAATGCGATTGCGTTAGTATGTCTTTTCTTGTTTTGTTTCTTAAATGTGAAACTGCCCTGTTAATGAACCTCGTTTGTCATTGATACAGTATGCTGTGATCTGCTTTGAAACACATGATTAAATCACAGCGTCTTACCCAGGAATGTGTCCAGTATGATCCAGAATCCGGCAGTTTTGTTTAGTACGAACTTTAGGCATGGCACTGTAACACAAAAGAAAACTCTCAGACAATGAAGATGTACCTCAACGTCAGATTTCCAAATAAGTTTGCACTGTAGGTGGCAAAAGGCAAAAAACCCCAAAAAAAACAACATCTTTACTTTCCCTCGTCCCCACGCACCCTCCGCCCAGCCCCCGCTATCACTCATCTGCATCTGGAAAAATTAAGTTTCCATTTCACCCGGTCGGTTGAAAGTGTCAGCCGGAAGCCTCACCGTGAAAGTGAAAGTTCAGGAAGAGCTCGTAGTAGCATTTTTCTGGCATTAAATAAGTTACAAGAAACTCTTTGATGGTTGACGTGGCCATAGTGGCTCAGCCGTAGCCGGGAATGATCATCAGCAACAGGGGGAGTGGTCCAAAGGTTTCCCAGTGTTTACAGTGGAGTCCAAAGAGGATAAAGAGCCAGACGTTTGACCTCTGAGATAAAACCACAGTTTCCAAGAGAAAAAAAATGTTATCCAGCTTTTGTAGTCTTTGTTGTAATGGCAAAGAGGTTACTATAATTATGGGATGTTTCTGGAGAACTGCACAGTTTGAACATAACTGAATGTGTGCAAAGTACTTAACTGACATCTACTTCTCATGCTCTGCTAAAAGCTCTGAAACAAATTTCACATTTTTTATTTCATAGCTGAGCTACAGTGTCTATTATTATTATTATTATTATTATTATTATTATTATTATCATCATCATCATCATTATTATTATTATTATTATTATTATTACATCTAATAGATGGTCTGATAGATGGTGTAAACTATAAAATATATTGTAAAACCTCAATTTGAACAGACTATAAATGGTTTTACAGAATAGTTTACTCCAAGTACAGATTTTGTGCGTTGGTTAAAAGAAAAAAACAAAACAAAAACAAACAACAACCTGGAATTTGTTTAATCTAGAAGCTCTTCAAATCTTACTGAAAATTTGGTGCTATTTAAAGGCTTAGAGTGGCTGGACTTAACTTAAGTGCTGTTGAACTGGTTTCTTGTTGATGATGCATGCAGAGTAGTTTAACTCTGTGTGTACCACCACAGGTTTTCATGTCAGCACTTTCCATTCACTTGACTGGAGAGCACGGGTGCTGCGCAAATCGCTTAGGGGTGAGTAACTTTGAACACATTTCTGGTGACAGGTACGTCTCAGTAACTGGCAGTGTTGGGAAGGTTACTTTTAAAATGTATTCCATTACAGAATACAGAATACATGCCCCAAAATGTATTCTGTAACGTATTCCGTTACGTTACTCAATGACAGTAACGTATTCTGAATACTTTGGATTACTTAATATATTATCATGCTTTTTACAACAACGTGAATGTACTATTGCTGTGTGATTTATTACCATTACTGAAGGTCCGCGGCTCCGAACCTTAGTAAAGGGACCTCTGACTAATACGGCGGGGTCCGTGTTGGGCTTTTAGCCGAAAAATAGCTTTACTTTGTTGTGTGGGTCAACTTTTCTTGCGAGAGACAGAGAAAGGCGTTGAAAGACTGCTCCAACGGAACTTATTGTTTTCGGAGGAGAACACGGTGTACAGTCGAGTCTTAATAGCTTACTTACAACTGGGCTCCTCAGGCACTCTTCTTGGCTGCAGTGGTTATTATTATATTTACATGCTTCCAGCTCCCGTTTTTTCTCGATGACTGCTCGTACCTTTCCATTATCCTTTTTTCTCCCTCCTCTTGCTCACAGACACATAACGGGTATGGCAGTCCATTCTCCCTGCAACACGGACTACACTGCCCATGAGGCTACATTCTTTCGAGCTATTCTTGTAGCATTCTGCCTGTTAGCTTAGCACAACAACAACAACAACAACAACAACAACAACAACAACAACAACAACAACAACAACAACAAAAAGGCGCTCTCTCACCCAGGAAACACACAGCCGTGCGAGAGATAGAGCGTCGCCCTGTAACCATGGCAACCGTAACGCTGCCGCCTGGAACAACAGAACGTAGCTGTCAAACAAAACCCAAACAGTCCTGACCCGCGACAATATGAAACAGGAAAGTACCGCAGTGTAATCCATTTATTTCAAAAAAGTAACAGTATTCTAAATACCACCTTTTTAAACGGTAACTGTAACGGAATACAGTTACTCATATTTTGTATTTTAAATACGTAACGGCGGTACATGTATTCCGTTACTCCCCAACACTAGTAACTGGTAAAGGAATTGTAGTTAAATGACTACTTGCAAGATCAGGAAGAACTGCCAAAGTCTATATATAAAGGATAAAAAGTGTCCTGTATTCACAAAACCTTAAAGGCCTTTAAGCAAAAACTGCAACAAACAAAACAACAACAACAGGGGACAGTTTTCAAGTACACATGGGGGCGCTATCAACATCATCGCGTTCGAAGAAAAATGATTGTACTACTTGGATTGTAACACTTGGATACTTGGAATTCAAAATTATCTGGAGGTGATAGCATCATGTGGTGCGACTGCTTTGCTATTATGGGATGTTTCTGGAGAACTGCACAGTTTGAACATAACTGAATTCAGTTGTGTGCAAAGTACTTAACTGACATCTACTTCTCATGCTCTGCTAAAAGCTCTGAAACAAATTTCACATTTTTTATTTCATAGCTGAGCTACAACAGTGTCTTCGTAGGAGAGGGCATTATCTGCGGGTGTACTGGAGGGTTGACCAAAACATGTGACGTACTAATCCTGCTTGTAGCCTCCCACACATCTGGAATTCCGATTACAAGAAAGCACAGAAAATCTCCCCAAGTATGAAAAAACAGACTACAATCATATCTGGTTTTCATCCCAGGGTGTTCTCGCTTAAGAGTAGCCCATTTTTGGTGGGGGAGAAAATCAGATAGAAAACAGTCCTAAATGAGGAGGTGCTGAGACTTCGGAGTAGTAGTTTTTATTATTGCTCTTTGTTGAGTCTTTGTAGCAATTTATTTTGGTATCAAAAGTAGGAAGCCTCCCGCTGGTGAAAATTTGATAACTAAATCAACAAAATGTGAGTTTAACAGATCAGTGAAACAGATAAAGGCTGTAGATTTTATATAAATGATCACAAATTTGTAGAGGTTTTATGCCCAGGTGTAATTAGTTAGGCCTTTTGTTTTCCCTACAGCGGATACTTTGAGCGACCCTACCACTGAACCATCATCATTATGACACCACCATTAAGAAACCTGCGATTTTCACAGGGGATGGATGTTCGATAAAGACGTTCAGTTTTGGCTCAAAACTACTCTACCAGCTCCCTATTTTTAATAAAATGAAGCCACCAATGCAAATACGCTTCAAACTTCTTTTTTTTTTCATGTAGGACGTCTTTCCTCTCAAAAAAAAGAAGACCAAAAAAACCCAAAAAACAGGAAGGATGTGCACTAAAACGTGATGAACAGAAAGTCTTTAATCACAGTTGGTTAGTTTTCTCTGTGACAACATGTGTACTGGAAAATGCTCGCGTATCATTGCCTATACTCTGTACCCGATGGTGCTTCTGTCCATCATCTGCAACATCGTGCTGTTCTTCCCCGACCTCAGCACAGAGTATGTGAAAAAACAGCACATCACTGGAGAGGTCATGTACATGGGGGGACTCATTGGAGGAGGTTTATTGGTGAGTTTTCACTTCTCTTATGTGCTGGATTGTAAGGGTGGGAGCCAAGTCTTTATTTTTATTATTATTATTATTATTATTATTATTATTATTACATCTAATAGATGGTCTGATAGATGGTGTAAACTATAAAATATATTGTAAAACCTCAATTTGAACAGACTATAAATGGTTTTACAGAATAGTTTACTCCAAGTACAGATTTTGTGCGTTGGTTAAAAGAAAAAAACAAAACAAAAACAAACAACAACCTGGAATTTGTTTAATCTAGAAGCTCTTCAAATCTTACTGAAAATTTGGTGCTATTTAAAGGCTTAGAGTGGCTGAACTTAACTTAAGTGCTGTTGAACTGGTTTCTTGTTGATGATGCATGCAGAGTAGTTTAACTCTGTGTGTACCACCACAGGTTTTCATGTCAGCACTTTCCATTCACTTGACTGGAGAGCACGGGTGCTGCGCAAATCGCTTAGGGGTGAGTAACTTTGAACACATTTCTGGTGACAGGTACGTCTCAGTAACTGGTAAAGGAATTGTAGTTAAATGACTACTTGCAAGATCAGGAAGAACTGCCAAAGTCTCTATATAAAGGATAAAAAGTGTCCTGTATTCACAAAACCTTAAAGGCCTTTAAGCAAAAACTGCAACAAACAAAACAACAACAACAGGGGACAGTTTTCAAGTACACATGGGGGCGCTATCAACATCATCGCGTTCGAAGAAAAATGATTGTACTACTTGGATTGCAACACTTGGATACTTGGAATTCAAAATTATCTGGAGGTGATAGCATCATGTGGTGCGACTGCTTTGCTATAAGATATACTGGTAGGATGGCAGTATGAGGAAGGACATTAAAGCAGATATATTCAGTTCACACGTAAGTGTTTACGGGTGTGCGACCAAGCGGAGAGACACTTCCAAAAAGAAGAAATATGTTTGGTGTTGTATCATTATTACGCAATATTTAAGTCCATGTGAGATAAGACAGCAAATTACCACAAATACTAACTCAATTCATTTCTTCTTCTTTTTTGCCAAACAATTTGCCAAATTAAACAATAAGCTTAACGAAAGATTTGCATCGAGAATAGAACAATGCAATGACAGTTAAGCAAAACAAAACACCATTATGACATGCACATGCATGCACAACTGTGAGTCTTGACTAGAAACTATTATCTTGTTTTAATAATAGAGGTATGTTGGGACGTCAGTCTGTAGTTCGTGATAGGATAGGAGCTAGAAAGGACATTGGACAGTTATTTGGCTTTTCTTTCTTAAACTTATAAATAATAGTTTCACACAAATCTTAGAAGAACAGAGGTGAAATATTAAAAGCTGCTCAGAATTCACTGTTAATACCAAATATCTTAATCTGCAATAGAAATGTTTTTATGACCTGTCATTGTCATTTAACTCTGGCAGATGTTCCTATCTATTCTGTTTGCTGCACTGGGTGCGGCGGGTGCCGTTTACAGCTTCATCGCAGCATTTCTTGGCTTAACAAATGGCCCCCTCTGCAAATCTGAAACCGGTGATTGGCAGAGACCTTTCCAAAGCAGGTGACAAGCAGAAGCAGTTTTCCAAAGACACTTGTTAAAATCCTCAATAAGTTCTGGTTGCTCATAAACCTCTTTTCTTCACGCAGCAATATGACCTACCTGACTGACTATAAGTCGTGGGCGAAGTGCAGTGAGCCAAAGAATGTGGTGCTGTTCAATACTGCGCTGTTTATGACTCTGCTCATAGCCAGCTGCCTGCAGGGGTTGCTCTGTGCCATGCAGATAATCAATGGCCTTGCCGGCACTCTGTTTGGAACCTGTGACAAAAAAGAGGTGAGGTAAAAAGACCACACATTGATGTTTCACATAAGTTACACTCACCAGCGGCTCCCTCGTTTTATTGATGTTTGTTCTTTCAAATTACAGCATGCATAGGTTTCTGATCAGGAGGCTTTTGACTGTTTGCATTTACGCCACATCTGAAGAGGAGTCTAAAAGAAGTGTTCCTGCCTTCAGTACATCTGTAGTGTATGCTTGCTCTAAAAGTATTGTTGGGGTATTTTATTATGCTTGAGGCTGCTGTTACATACACACATTAGCGTCCGCTGTGAAACGAGTACAGTATTTCAAATAATTCACGCTAATCATAGAGTCAGATAGAAATAAACTGCTTGAAAATAAATGCTTCTGGTCCACAGCTACACATTTGTCTTGTGTTTTGTCATTACAGTCACTAAAAAATATACTAATGCAACTGCAGTGATATTTGAGAGTGCACCTCTTTGTTTCACTCCACGCAAACTTTATTCTGTCTATCTATCCTGTATAAATGCGATTTCATATTCCAGATGTATTAACAAACTTCACGGTTTTTCTAAAAAGAACAATCAATCAAAATACAATCCACAGCACTCAAAACATTGCTGTGTGTGAGGAAGGTGAGGAAGGGAACTTCAGATCTCATGATAACCTTTATGGCAGCTGAGTAATCTTGCCTCACCCTAAGTGTTGCCCAGACACCAAACATGTTTTGTTCAGCATGAGTTTCTCTCTCTCTCGTTGTCAGTACAGTGCCTAGATAATATACTAATGTACTGATATATACTAATACATATGCCTTCGATTTGCTTGATGCCCAATATAACTGCAGAGACATTTAAGCCTAGAAATTACAAAAGTATACACACACATATACACACACACACACACACACATATATATATATACATGTGTAAGATAACAATGTCATACATCGACACTGTTATTGCATGCTCAACACACAGCTTTGTTTTGCCGCTGTGTGCGGCAAAACAAAGCAAAAAAAAATAATATATATATATATATATATATATATATATATATATTATCGGTACACAGCGGCAAAACAAAGCTGTGTGTTGAGCATGCAATAACAATGTCGATGTAAGACATTGTTATCTTACACTGCTTTTTGAACATGTCTCTCACACTAAGAAGTGGTGGCTGTTATACATTCCAACAACAAAAGAAACTCACTCGTTTTGAATATGTGTAATTGACAAGAAAAGATAGATCACACATAGACTTTGGGGGCTCTTAAATAAATAAAAAAGTACAATAAAGAAAATAAAAAGACATGTCTGAATGCACCATCACACTGTTAGCAATCAAAGCTGAATCCATTGCTGAGGAAGGAGAATCTACAGAGCTTGACATACACAGAGATAAAGCGAAGACATTATATGGTTTCGACACGTTTAACAATTCGTAAAGTTGGTCTTGAGTAGCAATCAGACAATTCTATTCTGACGCTTGCCGCACTTTAGCATATGATCGACCCTGCAAATTTCATCAGATCCAGGGGTTGGTGTCCTGGTCACCTTTTCACCCACTTGAGACTTCTCAGAGTTCTGGTCACACAAATGTTTCATCTTGACCTGCGGCTTTTTAGGTTCTGTTTTGTCAACTGACCTGCCCTATAGTCTGCCGCAAACCATTAACACGGTCTATCAATTTCACAGGTGAGTCATCTGATAACCACTTATCCCACTGCTAAAGGTCCTCATACCTTTTGTCTGAAGATCATAAAAGTCATTAGGGCTTAACCCTGTATTCTCTGACAGACTTCTACACCCATCTGTCATTCAGAATAGCAGACTTAATGGGTAACCAGTTTTCAGCCAAGACCCGATTTCCAGCCAAATCATTTCCCCAAATCACCTCTATGCCATGGATAGGTAAAGCAGACTGAACCCCAGTGAACCCCAACATGGATATCATCCACAAGGCCACACAACAGCCTGGCTTTATTCAGTGGTGGGTTTTTTCTGTTAATAATAAAGACAATAAAAACAACTTACAATGGACAGAAGAATAAAAGAAAAAAACACCACTCATAGCAAAGAAACACAGACAAGTGGTCTAGTTATATTCAACACTCTGAGAATATTAAGCCATCTCTAAAAACCATTACTAAGCAAATATAGTTCAAAAAATAGGATCTCATCACAAATGACCAAACCTGAGACTAATGAAATCACAGACTTCCTCCAAAGGCAAGTCCAAAGAGACAACTAGCCAAATTTTTCTATGCAAGTGGAAGATGCAGAGCACTAAGTGAAACCTTACGAAGTGATACAAACAAGCGTTTACGTAACTTACTTCAAAATCTTACAAGGTCAAGATTACTCTGCAGACGAGCCCCATTTGCCCTGCGTCTTTCTTTTTCATGTAACTGGTGGTTAGAGCTGTCCCAAACTTAGAAGCAGAACACCTGAGCAGTTCAGACTCAGGTACACTGTAAAAAGCCATGCCAGAATATCCCTTTTTCTGCTTCTCTCTTCTTTATGGATGCTCATTGACTGACATTTATTTATTTATTTATTTTGGCACATTCTCACTCTTTTTGGGTTTTTTTTACCTGATTTTTGTTTCTAAGAAAAATGAGAGCCACATATGAGGATATTCATTTAAAATTTCAATAGAATAGTAGCAGTATAACGTCCTCATAAGTGGATCTCAGGCCATGTAGAGCAAAATTGAGTATTTTGGTCTAAATAACCCAAAATGTGATGTGCACACACCAGGTCCTGGGAGGATAAGCCATTTTTGGTATCGTTAGCCTAAGTCTATGTGTGGGCTCCATATTTCTTGTCACATACTCTGAGCTGGGTTCTGACATATAAACACGTGTCTCACACTAATCTAGTTGTGCATTCAAGCAATGTACAAGAAACTTGCTTGTATTTAATCCCAATAAGCATTTTGGAACTCTGATCATGCAGCTTATTTCTCAGCAGTGACATGCTCGGCACCAACATGTGTCAATAAGGGGACCAGTGTGTAGTTATAAAGTTGACCAAACAACGTCGTTATCTAATCATGCCAGCGAGTGAACAAAAGGCTTGTGTCTCTATAATTCCACAGGGTGAGTCACACATCCTTCCGCAGCCTATCCCATATCTTTTCTGTCACTGGTTTTCACTACACCTCCCACATCCTAACCTCCCTCCCACTGGCTGCTTTTTTCCCCCCAGTCACATTTAAGTGGAGCCTCTTTCGACAAGCAAGAATCATCTGAGCTCAAACTTTGCTACCAAGTTAGTAACTTTCTCCATCTGCAGACATGTGCACTGGAAAATGTTCCCGTTTTATTGCTGTTGCTCTGTACCCACTAGTAGTCATATCTATCATCTGTAACATCGTGCTGTTCTTCCCTGATGGGGACGTCACTTATGCCAAAGACGGACATATTACCGAGGAGGTGAAATACATGGGGGGACTCATTGGAGGGGGTGTAATGGTGAGTGGTCTTTTTTTATTTTTCAGTCTGTTGCAGAAATTAAACATTTTTATTCTGTATATTTGCAAGGTTGAAAAGTCTTGCACTTGGTGCGCACTGCTTCTCAAAACACGAATGAAGGCTCATGTTTGCATGTTTACAGAGTCTTTTAAATATTCCACTAACATCCGACTGAATATTATGTCCTATCACCTCCTTTGTCCTTCTACAGGTGTTGCTACCAGCATTGTACATTCATTTAACTGGTAAACAGGGTTGCTGTGGAAATCGCTGTGGGGTGAGTCAGACATGAGTACAGTAAGATGTTGCAAGTGGTCGATTAGGGAGGCTTGATTAAGTTTAATGATTAATGCATCATATGCAATCTTCACTGAAAGGAGATTTGAACTCTGCAAATTGTCAGTAAATAGTTAAAAATAACATCAGTAAGATCAGTGGAAATACAAATAGCTATTGACCTGAAATGTTAAAGTATATGCCACAAGGTCACTCCAATGTGTGTCATACAAACTGGCCCAAAGTGATGATTATTTTATAAAAATTCCTTGTATAGTTCAATCTTTATTTTCTCCACTTTTGTACTGAGGCTAAATTCAAGTGAAGCCAAAAAAAAGAAGCCAAATTCGCTGCAATTTGCAAGCCACAACAGCATGTCTTTTTAGGTTCCTAATTTACTTAGATGTCATCCTAATTTAATTAGACATCATGTTGTTTGCAGAGTCTCCTTTCTTGATCTCGAGAGAATGTTTAAAGGTTGAAGACACAGGAAAAGGCTCACTGAAATGTTTTTGGACTTAGTGGTACAGAAATGCATTTTAATAAAAAACAAAACTTCAAACGTACAGCAATCCAGCGAAGGCCTTTTTGTTGATAGAGTTAAGCTATGATTACATTGTAAAAATTAAGCCTGCAACAGAAATAGAAAAAGTGACTTAACACAGTACCAGCAAACCTGTTTTTGTTATGTTTGGTTTAGCCTGTACTTAATTTTAAGGAGATCTGTAGTCTATGGGAAAACTAAACAGAGTGCTTGTCCCTCCCTAAATGTTTCATTTATCAACAGGGGGGGAGTTGTGTCTTTAAACTGTATCATGATTGCATTTGACCTTTATCATTTACTCTCTCTGCAGATGTTCTTATCAATTGCATTTGCTGCAGTGGGTGTGGCTGGAGGCCTGTACAGTTTAATTGTTGCAGCACTTGGTTTGCAGAATGGGCCTCTCTGCAAAACTGTACTGATCTGGACAACGCCTTTTAAAGAACTCACAGGGTAAAAAAAAAGCACAGGAGTGACTTCCTCAGGACACGTTTGATATGTTTCTTAATTCTTAGTCATTTATAAATCTCCTGTCTTGCACAGTGACAACAACTACCTGAAGAACGATAAATTGTGGAGCTTATGCACAGAGCCCAAGAACATTGTGCAGTTTAACCTTGGACTGTTCGGCACTCTGCTGGCCACAAGCTGCCTGCAGGTGATCCTCTGTGCCATACAGATGATCAACGGGCTCTTCGGCTGTCTGTGTGGAACCTGCAACAAAGAAGTGCTTTGAAACTGAGTTCGCCTTAAAAGAATAATAGGTGAAAATAATTACATCTCAAATGATTTGCTTCTCAGATTTATATAGAGAGACTTAACTTCTCTTATCTGTATACTTATTATTTATTCATTCCTTAATCTACAGACACTGAGAGTTCCTGACAATTGATGGGCGCCCCCTGCTGGATGAATGAGGATAAACCTCTTGTCTACATCTGCATAAAACATTCTCTTTGATTTTTTACTATTTAAAAAAAAAGAAGAACTTTTTTGTATTTCATGCTTCACATATTGCAGAAAATTTTAATTTACTGTTGTGCAATCTTTTTTTAGTAATAATAAATCCACGACATTAGAAATGAGTTATGCTAATTAGATGGCCAGTTTTATATAATCTGGCTTGAAACATTGCAGCTAAAGTTTTACTATGTTTTTTTTTAAAAAAATCTAAAAAGTATATCTTTTGAATAATTGTGTTTTACACCATTGATAGGTTTTAGTGGCTATTACTAATATTACATTAGTAGTGTACTATATTACTAATATATTACTATAATTAATGTAATAACCTTCAGAGCAAAATAAAATACATGACAAATGTCTTTTTACTATTATAATAAATACCAGCCTTGATATACAAATATTTCAGTGTTATCTCAAATTGTTAGCCAGTCCTAGATAAAATGACACATAATCAGGCAGTTTTGGTTTCACTGACGTACATGAATAAATAAATAAAAAGGTTACACAAGAATTGAAAAAGATTAATGTTGGGGACTGGAGAATCACAGCAGAGAGTGGACACATAGCTGCCAATGATTCCATAATGAAAATATTAATTTAGTTGCTACACCAGGTTTTATGTAAGTTAAAATTAAATAGCATATGCCACTTTACTATTTTTACATAGTCTTTAACCTCCTAAGACCCGAACTCTTCCACGACATGCATTTTTAATTTCTCTTTGATATTTGGACTGATTGGGACCTGATGAATGTAAAAACAAAGAATTGCCAGATTTTTATTTTATTTATTTATTTTTTACCTATTTTTTGTTCCTAAGAAAAATGAGGATATTCGTTTAAAATTTCGATAGAACAGTAGCAGCATAATGTCCTCGTAAGTGGATATCAGGTCCTTGTAGAGCAAAATCGAGTATTTTGATCTAAATAACCCAAAATGTGATGTCCACATATGTGGACGCCAGGTCATAGGAGGTTAAGCAATGACCTACAAGTGGCGCATGTGAAGTGGATTGTTATGATTTTCAAACACCACCAGAGGGCGCTTTCATAAGAATTCTCCTCTCGAGGAGGGTAAGTAGACTAACATTTGAATTGCATTCATTTCAATTCAATTTTATTTATATAGCCCCAAATCATAACAACAGTCCCCTAATGGTTGTCATGACCACTAATCAACAACCATGACAAACTACACATTAATGATCAAGGAACTGATCTCACAGCCCATTGTTCTTTTAGTTAGCTAGTTTCAGTCATTGTACAAATGTACTGTTTATAAGATTGGGGAAACCTGCAGTCAGCTGAGACTGAAGAAGTCACTTGGATGAGTGACGAAACGTTTCTCCCACTGAACACGCTACATCCAGATGAACAGATTCAAATTTTGGAAGAAACTCCCACCAGAACCAGGTTCAGGGAAGGGCGGCCATCTGCTGTGACTGTCTGGGGTTGAGAAGAGGGAGAAAGGACAAAAGAAAGAGAAAGTCTATTTTCTCTATAAAGAATGTACAGTGTGGTTTATAATTGTAATGTGGACATGTTTAACCATAATGCACAGCCCCACATTGGATGAAAATCAAACACAACTCCCCTCCATGAATCGCCACCTTATCAAGGAGAGGTTTGTGCCCCCCAGTGATCCCAGGAGCGATGTTGTTCAGGGCAGTTTCCCCCTATTAGGGTTTCCCATGGGAGATTACCTGGCCCCTCACCTATGATCAAAGAGAAAATTGAATTAGAGAAAAATTAGAATCAGAATCAGAATCAGAATCAGAATACTTTATTGATCCCTGGGGGAAATTATTTTTTGTTACAGTGCTCCATTTTAAACCAACATTAAGACAAGACAGACAATACGCTAACTAAGAATAGTACAATATATACATGTATATACATACATAAGTCACTTATAAATAAATATTTGGAAAAGAAACATGTGTAGTTGTAGCAGCAAACAGTGTGTTAAGTGGATGCGTTGTACAGGGAGATGGCCACAGGCAGGAATGATTTCCTGTGTCGTTCAGTGGTGCTTTTCGGTAATCTCAGTCTCTCACTGAACGAGCTCCTGTGACTGACCAACATGTCATGGAGTGGGTGGGAGGTGTTATCCAACATTGTCTTTATCTTGGACAGCATCCGCCTCTCCGACACCACCTTGAGGGAGTCCAGCTCCATCCCCACAACATTGCTGGCCTTACGGATCAGTTTATTAAGTCTGTTGGCATCTGCGACCCTCAGCCTGCTCCCCCAGCATGCAACAGCATAGAGGATCGCACTGGCCACCACAGACTCATAGAAAATCCTCAGCATTTTCTGGCAGATGTTGAAGGACCTCAGTCGCCTCAAAAAATAGAGACGACTCTGGCCCTTCCTGTAAAGTGCTGTGGTGTTTTTAGCCCAGTCCAGTTTATTGTCAATGTGTACTCCAAGGTATTTATAGTCCTCCACAATGTCAACACTGACCCCCTGGATTGAAACAGGGGTCAAGTGTTTCCTGGTCTTCCTGAAGTCCACGATCAGTTCCTTGGTCTTTGCCACGTTGAGCTGCAGATGATTCTGCTCACACCACGTGACAAAGGAGTCGACCACAGCCCGGTACTCTGTCTCATCATCCCTGCTGATGCATCCAACCACCGCAGAGTCATCAGAAAACTTCTGAAGATGGCAGGTCTCTGTGCAGTGGCTGAAGTCTGTGGTGTAGAGGGTGAAGAGGAAGGGGGAGAGGACAGTCCCCTGTGGTGCCCCTGTGTTGCTAATCACCTTGTCAGACACACACTGTGGGAGACGTACATATTGTGGTCTTCCTGTCAGGTAATCAACAATCCAGGACACCAGAGAAGCATCCACCTGCATCGCTGCTAACTTATCACCCAGGAGGGTCGGCCTGATGGTGTTGAAAGCACTGGAAAAGTCAAAAAACATGACCCTCACAGTGCTCGCCGGCTGGTCCAGATGGGTGTAGACACGATTGAGCAGGTAGATGATGGCGTCCTCTGTTCCGAGACGAGGCTGATAAGCGAACTGAAGGGGATCCAGATGTGGTCTTACTATGGGTCGCAGCTGGTCCAGGATGAGCCTTTCCAGGGTCTTCATGATGTGGGAGGTCAGTGCCACGGGCCTGTAATCCTGGGGGCCACTGGGACGAGGCGTCTTTGGTACAGGGACGAGGCATGATGTCTTCCACATCACCGGGACCCTCTGCAGACTCAGACTCAGCATAAACAGTTTATGAAAGACTCCACACAGCTGGGGGGCACAGGCCTTGAGGACAAGGGGACTCACTCCGTCTGGTCCAGCAGACTTGCCTGAGTGAAGTCTCCTCATTTGCATCTCAACCTGGTATTGAGTGAAGGTGATGGGTGGGGGAGGGGTGTCAGGAATCTCACAGGAGGCAACATGTGAAGAGAGAGGCTGGCACAGTGGTGTGGCTCTGGATTCCAGGCTGACTGCAGGTGAGGTTGTGGGGGTGGGAGCAGACACTGTGGTGTCGAATCTATTGAAAAACAGATTCAACTCGTCGGCTCTATTCTCACCTCCCTCAGCTCCCCTGCTGTTGGTTGGCCTGAATCCAGTGATGGTCTTCATGCCCCTCCACACCTCTCTCATGCTGTTCTGCTGGAGTTTCCACTCCAGCTTCCTCCTGTAATTGTCCTTAGCCTCTCTGATCTTGTCCTTTAGTAACACCTGGATCTTCCTCACCTCCTCTTTGTTGCCCCCTCTGAAAGCCCTCTTCTTGTTGTTGAGGAGGGCTTTGATGTCCTTAGTCACCCACGGCTTGTTATTTGGGTAACAATGAACAGTCTGAGCTGGAACAATGGAGTCGGTGCAGAAAGTTATGTAGCCTGTGATACACTCAGTAAGCCCATTGATGTCCTCGGCGTGAGGCTCACAGAGTGTCTCCCAGTCGGTCACCTCGAAACAGCCCTGTAGTTCCGCTATTGCCTCCTCTGACCACCTCCTAACAGTCCTGGTGGTCACAGGTTCCCTCCTCACAATTGGCACATAGCGGGGGGTGAGGTGAATCAGGTGGACGATCTGATTTCCTCGTGTCAGCATTGTTCCCACATCATCATAATTAATGTTGTTCCAGGTTCAACATTGCAAGTGACCAATCACCTTCTTGTGACGTCATTCCTTTGCGACTTCGAAATACCCGCCTTCGAGTATTTCGAAATACAAGTGAAGAAGCGAAAAACCGCCGCCTGTCCGCCGAATTTGAAGTCAATTTAGGATACTTTCCTTTAATAAACGGTAAGCATTATACATATGTTCCTCACTTGGCTTGCTGTTTGTTTGCTAGCGATAGGCTACTTGACAACAGCATTAGCTAACCAGTGTTCTCTAGGCCAGCGTTCCCCAACTTTTTGGGTGTTTCGTGGCCCGGGGGTTGGGTCAGGCAAAATTGCAGTAGCTTCCCTGATCATTTTACAAACATAAGTGAAGAGAATCTGGACTAAAAGGCCTAGACTTATGGTTGTGTGCTGAATCTATGAATCAAACTATCACCTGGAAACATAATTAACTGGTCCATAGCTGTGAAACTGGACATGAGTTCTTGATTCTATGGAGATTAACAGTAATCCAGAAATTTACAAATTTGTCCTGGTACATCGCGTAAATGTTGTCCCAGGGACATCGCGTAAATGTTGTCCCTGGGACATTGTGTAAATGTTGTCCCTGGGACATCGCGTAAATGTTGTCCCTGGGACATCGCGTAAATGTTGTCCCTGGGACATCGTGTTAAAGTTGCCAGAGACATACCATATGAAAGTTTAGCTTCTTTTAGCCCCTGTTTGTTTTATATTATTTTATATATATATATATTTTTTAATATTATATTTAATATTTACATTGTATTGCAAAAAACCCCACAACAAGTTAAAATGAATTAATGAATATTGACTAATTAAACCTTCGTTATTTTTCCACCAGAAATGGACGACATAATTAGAAGAAGTGTTCTGAATGACGAAAAAAAAAAGAACTGGAAAAGACACACAACTTTGTGTGCATGTGTCACAATGCCAGGAGGACCCATTCAGTGTTGTGTTAGAAAAATTGAACTCATTAACCCTTCATGGACATTATAAATGTTTAAATGTTGCCTCAGGTAAAGACAGGAAAAGAGACTATTACAAATTCAACTGCATCAGAGCTGGGGGAAAAAGTCGAAACAGCTACAGAGCAGTGGGCTGTAAGGCCTATGTTTCATTTAAAGTACTCAAATGTTGGAAAGACCACACAGTCATCGTGCAGCGTACATATGATAAGCATGATGGGCATGATCCTTCGGACCCAAAAGACGCACATTTCAACAATATTTCCAGTGATTTGAGGAGGAAGATTGAGGAACTGCTTTCCCTTGGAACTAAGCCAGCCATCATACTAACCGAATGTCATAAATGGGCCAAAGAACATGGACACAGAGATCTTCACAACAGAGAGCATTTTGTCACACCACGTGACATTGACAGTGTTAGAACCTGCATGATGAGGAAGAAGCACTTTAACTGTGGAGACAGTCAATGTGTACATACCTTACTTAATGGAAAACATCAAGAACATGTTCTCTTCTATCAACCATACACATCTGACCAAGAACTAATGATTGTTTTGCAGACACCTGTAATGAAATCAAACATGGAGAACTATGCAAAACAGTTAGTATTTGTTGACACCACGCACTGCGTTAACCAGTATTCATTTCCCTTATTCACACTTGTTGTAAGAGATGATCATGGGCATGGAGTCCCTGTGGCCTATGCTATTGTCAGCAACGAAAGTCAGAAAACCCTGGAAACTGTTCTTGGAATAGTTTGTGAGCTTTTCACAACTTCCCCGAGGTAAATAATACATTGACAGCTATTAATTTTGAAATAATTCCTTTTCAAAAAAGTTATAACATGCCAGAATCTAATGCTATAGCTGCAGCATGGGCTGCAAAAACTTTCCTTTCCAGTTGTTAAAGTTATTCCTATAGGCTGTATGCAGTATTTTATATATCTACTTGTGAGTTGAAATGTTTAATTTGGCATTGAAGTGGTGCTTTGAGATAGCAAAAACATTTTCATACTGTTTAATCTCATTTAGTGTTTTCTTTTTTCTGTAGAGCATTTATGGTTGACAAAGACTTTGCGGAAATAAATGCTTTGCAGAAGGTTTTTCCAGAGTCAGCTATCCTTCTATGCTGGTACCATGTCTTGCAGGTAAACCACATTGTTTTCTTTTCACGTTGTCTAAGATGGACCTGAAACACATTTTTACAACAGGGTCCTGTTGTTATGATTTGCCTCATTGTGATATTCACCTACTCAGGTTAATGAATATAAAGGGATAAAATGTTGAGTGACTATGTCCATCCATTTAAGACCACAGTGCACTCATCTTCTGGTGGCTGCTTCCCAAAGCTCTTTTTGACATTTAAAAATATGTTTGCCTGGTTGATTTCTGTAATGCACAGGTCCTCTTGTCCAGTGAGTGACAAAGTTATTTTTGGACGTCAGCTTTCTTTTATGCTTTTTGTACAGCTGCTCCTCTGTCTCTCTCTCCAGATTAACTTTTTTTCTCTTACATTCACAGGCTGTTAATCGATGGCTTTCAAAATCAGAGTCCGGGGTCCATGGGCTTTCTAACACCCAAAAGAGAAATGAAATCATTTCTTTCTTTTGTAAGCTGAAAGCTTGCACATCTGTAAGTGTAATTTGTCTATTTCACATTTTGATTTCTTGATTACACTAAGAGCATAATAACTTTCAGTTGCTAAAAGAAGTTACAGAGAGATACAAAATAGATTTTTGAAACAATTTCTAAAACTGGCTTCTTATCTTGCTTATCAAAACAAGTACTTAAGCTGTGCAGAACATCATTGTGTCACCCACTGTGCAGTAGAACTTGTGAGTGGGATTCTTTCACAGACAGATGCTGAAACCAAATATGCTTATAGGTTTAGTGTTCCTTCTTAGCCATTGTAAGGGAAGAAATAATTGCTTCTTAATACAAAAACACGACATATTATTAATAACTTAAAATTCTTAATGTTATTCAATAAAAGGAAAAGGGCTTCAATACATAATATTAAAGATTTCAATAGGTCTGTTAAATGGATTGAAATATATTCTGTTGCATCCAATTCTCTTAGGAGGACGACTTTAAAGCCACATCAGCAGAGTTCTGCCAGACATTTAAGCAATACCCTTTGGTGTGCCAGTATTTTCAGAAGCACTGGGAAGGCATTGGCCACATGTGGTGTGACTACGGCCGTCGGTTCAGTCACGCTCGTTCTGAAACAAACAATGTGATTGAAAGGTATGATTTATTATTTTGACCTCATTCAATTGTATTGCTGAAAAAAAGATATTATGCTTTAATCCAAGAGGCTAAACTGAGTAGGTTCGTCATGTCATTGCCAGAACAAGTTTTAGGCAAATCCTTTAAATTCTAGCAGCGTTTTTTATGTTATCACAACAAAAAACAGAGTAGGTGGATTTGCCTAAATCAGCTAAACCGGCACAGAGCATTCCTTTATAAAAGACGTGTGCAATAGGTTTTCCAATTTTTTAAAAAATAATACAGTCTTGATTAAAACTTTAAATTCCTTCAATTACAGTTACTAATCATTTCAAATAACTGTTTTTCAGATTTTTCCACCGCCTGAAATACCAGTTTTTATCTGGCTACAAGAATAGGCGTCTGGATGATCTGATTGAAGTGCTCCTAGGGAAGGCCGACGACTACTTCTCAGTCATAAAAACCCTGCAAGATGTGGGCCGCATGAAAAACAGGTTTGCTGACACCTTGTCTCAAGTTTCAGACTCTGCTTCAAGACTGATGGAAAGTGGTTGGGCTCTTAAAATTACAGTCAAGAACAGCCATGGAGTTAATGCATATCAAGTCCCATCTGAGTCAAGAGAAGACATGGTGTATGATGTCTGCCCTGTTGAGTCCTACTGCAACTGTACATATGGCTTACGAGGACTTCTTTGCAAGCATCTAGTGTTACTTGCAAAATTAGCAGAGGCTGACAATGACATCTATCCAAACATGGAAACAGACCTTGGCAAGAATTGCAGTGAAAGAAAGGCATTACTTTGTACACTGTGAGGACTTGAAAGTGATAAAAATGCCAAGTTTGTTTGGAAATCTGTGTTTTTTTTGCATCGGCTGAAACACTTCAGTGCACTTGTTGTACGTTCTCTCACTATAACACATGTGCTTGCCTGAAGGTGGCTTGTAGCCATTTTAAACAAATGAAAAACTCTCTGAAAAGTCCTCTATCAACTTTGAATGACACTCCTGTAGTTGAAAGCACAGACAAAAAATGCACAGAAGATGCAGTTTGAAAACTAAATGCTGTTTTAGACACAGTTAAACAGTGGCATTCATTCCAGAGGGTATTACTGCAATGATAGATGAACTGCATACAAATGTCTTAAAAACAAAACAAGTAGGCAAAAGTATATGCCAGTACGAAATAAAGATGACAGATAATGCACGCAAAATTAGGCCATTGTATTCTAGCAAGAAACGTTCGGCCAGCATCGACATTCCAACAGTCTGAAAATGAATGTGAACAGTCGATAACCACTGAAAGAGAGACATCCTCTGGAGAAAATGAAAACCTTTTGGAATACAAAACAAAAAAGAGAAGAGTTAAAGCTAAGTATATGCACAAGTAGACTTTGTGTGACATTTCAAAGGGACTGCATCCATTACTTCTGTTTATTGAAACCTAAAGCTGAATAGCTGTCTTAACTTTCTGCCAAGGAACAGATGAAAAGAAATTGTTTGGTCTCTCAAGCAGTTGTTATTTATGTGTGTTATTCATTACTTGGCTTGGTTGCTGTTTTGATACAAATTCATCTGTGCCCATTGTAATATTTTCATATGTTACTATTTTTATATTGCTATGCATTATAAATAAAGGATTACTTATTACTATTAAAGGTCTGCATTTGTAATTGTTGGTATTATTTATAAAATATGCGCTCTTAAGTTTTTTGCTCCATAAAACGATACCTGTCACTTTTTGGACATAGAGTATCAGCTGTTGAGAATCCTGGCTCATACAAAATAGAAGTAAAAGGTTTCAACATCCAGCCTTTTTATGATTAAATACAAAGTGTAATAACAGAGTTATTGGGGTGTGATTTTGTTAATAGTTAGTCTTAAGTATAAGTTTAAGAGTAATGAGTAAGAAAATATAGCCAGAATAATGGAATGAGACTAACACCTGACCTCACACTGAGATTTGGTATGAAGTGGCATGTTTGTGCTAATGCTGACATTGGGGCTCAGAGTTCCTCTGTGTGTATATATTTGTGAACGTTAACTTGGCTAATGTCCAAGGGTTTGACTGCTTTCCTGTTGGATTGTATCACAAAGAACAGGGATAAGAGCACCAGTGGCCGTGCACACCCTCATCTCTCTCCTTCACCCAATCATTAGTGTTGGAAACCGGCATTAGCTCAGAGTAGATTAGACTTCAGTATAGTGCAAGTGATTTGATTTTATGATTATTTGATTCAGTTTTTCTGTGTTCAAGCTCAATTACTTTAATAAAATATGTTGAATTCAAACAAATAAATAAACAAATAAACTGTGGACATTACCCTTTTAAACCTTTCTGAAACAAGACAGGTAAAAACCAGTGTATAAAAGTTTACATAGGTATAAATAGCTCTAACACTTTACTCAGGCCTGGCGTCCACACATGTGGACATCACATTTTGGGTTATTTAGACCAAAATACTAAATCTTGATCAACAAGTGCCTGATATACAGTTATGAGGACATTATACTGCAACTGTTCTATCGAAATTTCAAATTAATGTCCTCATATGTGGCTCTCATTTTTCTCAGAAACAAAAATTAGGTAAAAAAAAACAAAACCTGGTAATTCTTTCTTTTTACATTCATCGGGTTCCAATCGGCCCAAATATCAAAGAGAAATTAAAAATGCATGCCATGGAAGATTTCGGGTCTTAGGGGGTTAAAATGACCAGACCCCTCCGGCCTGTTTTCCAGGCCACTAAATTAAACCCAGTCAATTACCAATTGAACAGAATAAAAACCTATGAGGTCCACTAATAGTCCAAAAGTCCAAATCTTTAATAGAAAAGACAGGCAGAACTCAAACAAACAATAATCCAAACGAGGAGCATATATACACACTGGAAAGTAAATAATTATAAGTTATTAAATCAGACTAATTAAATACAGTAAAACTAATAAGGGAAGACGAACACACGGGAAATAAAAATAACAGTGTAAACATACCAAAACTCAAAATAAAACAGGAAAGCTACTACAAACCGAGTGTGACACAATTACATTCATATTGAAACATATGTGATAATTTTCTTTGTAGCATTTTTAAGATATGTGTTAGAACAGTCATTATGCTGTTTGGATTAGGAACCAATCATTTTTGCCAAATAGTTAACACAAACTTAGAACAACAATGAACAATTTTCAAGATTCTGATTTACAGAACAAACAAAAGTCACAAAAGGTTTCATTATTTAAGAGACAAGATCAAGTTTTTCACACAGGAATGAAATGACAGAATCCAGTGCAGCAGGGCCAAAGGTGTGTGTCAGCAAACTGAAGGTTGAGGAATCAGTCAGCTCATGTTTAAGATTGTGTTGGATTTTGAGAAGAGTCTGTCTGTTATTAGAAAGTAAGATTAACAATGTTACACCAATAACCCAAATACGGGGAAATGACAAATAATACCAAAAAAGATACAACTTTCATATTGTTTTACTAACTTACTTTGTCATATCAGCACTTGAATGGTCGATGCCTTTACAGACCATGTCTGTTGTGACATCGCAGGCCAATCTTCCGGCAAACCCGAGGGCTAGCTCCCCAGCCTCCTCTTCACTCAGAACACTAAACACTGTTACTTTAGTTTTGGCCTTCTTAGGCCTGTCAAGAATCATTGCGGGCAGTTTGGCTTTACGGCCCTAAAAAAGAAAAAGTGCAAACTAGGGCTGCTCGATTATGGCAAAAATGATAATCACGATTATTTTCACTGAAATTGAGATCACGATTATTTGACGATATTTATTTAACCCTTTAAGACCTACTATAGAACCAAGTCCACCAGAGCTTATATTATTTTTTTTACATGTTGTAGTGCCATTTGTGGGAGCATTTCAAGTTGCTATACATCAATACAACTGTTATAGCCCATATTTTAATAATATGTATGCATTAAGTCCATAGTAATTACATAAATTGCAAAAAAGTGCAATAAACTACAAAAAAAATTGAAAATTGCTTTTGTTTTGTATACATATATTTCTACTTGGAGAAATTTAAGAGGTTTATCCCTCAAAACTTTAAATACAATAAAGTTGCAAAAAATAGTTTCCCACCACAGGAAATTTATTTTGAGTGTCTTCATAGTTTTATTTTGGAGATACAGCAATTTTTATATACTGCAGGAAAAACAAAAAACAATCCTATGATGCAAATTTGCAAAGAAAACAGCAGGTGCATCATTTCACTGTGGGAAGTGTTACGAACAGCTGATAGGAACGGCAAAGCCTGTTTCTGGAATATTATGTTTTTGTTCCTGCAAGCGCTTTTTATGCAATATTTGCAAAGCTATATGTGGAACGAAACCGTGACCGAGGACAAGCTGATGGCATCAGATGTAAGTACAACTCCTCCGGTTTCATATACAAAACAAATTATTGCGCTAGCTTACATGGTTCAGGTTCTACAGGGATTTAAAAATAGTTACACAACACGGAGCGTGCTGCTCTGACCGGCTTTAAAGGGTTAACAATGACTTTTAAAAAATAATATAAAATAGTGTGCAACACCACTGAAGTTTTTTTTTTTTTTAACTCTTTTCAACCAACGGCAGTCACTCTCCAAATAACTTCTGCTTAGCTTTCCGAGCTTCCCTCGGGTCCTCTTAATCAGCGGTCTCCAACCTTTTTTGCGCCACGGACGGTTTATGCCCGACAATATTTTCACGGACCGGCCTTTAAGGTGTCGCGGATAAATGAGGGAGGGGCTAATAATCGGCTCAGTCATTTTTAATGATCGTTGAAAGCCCAGATCGTAATCGTGATTAAAATTCGATTAATTGAGCAGCCCTAGTGCAAACACCAAAAGAGCAGAGAGAGACACACACACGCGCACAAAGTTAAATGCTTTTGTTTACATGGTGTAATTGTGTATATGTTGCAGCAAATGCATAATTTCCAGCCACATTGTCACTTCATTGATACGAGTAACCTGGATTTATTTCAGGTGACATCAAAATCACGAAATGTATACCTACCCCAATCAAACCTCTGAAAACATGAACTGACATGTTCTCTGCGTTGATTCTGCGCTTGATCTCGTCTTCTGTTATTGTGTAGGTTTTCTTTTTTGAGCTTGGTACAGATAAGCGACCATGCACTCTGTAAACTGTACTAGTTCCTTCTGAATCAGTTTGGAATTCTGTATCTGCATCGATCCTGTCAACATCATCAGCAGCAGCATTATCTGTACTCAGACTTGTGCCGTATACTTCTGCTTCTTTTTCGTTGTCTTCAGTCTGTGTACCTTCATCTCTGACTGTCAGTCTTCCTATCTCACTGTTACTTGTCGATTTGCTGCAGATGTTCTCTCCCTTAGGAACTTTTCCTTTGTCATTCGCTGCCTGATGCTTTCCCTGATGACATTCTTCACTGGCTACTTCTATTGCTCCTCCTGTATAGCCACCCACTATGCTGCACAACTCCTTTCCCTCTGCTGTGCTGCACTGTGCTGTTACATAAAGAAGAATGATATAAACAGCACTATATCAATTTAATTGTGAAGAGAAATCCCCACAATATGACACAGTTATGTCTAAAATAGTTTTGTGTAAAAAATGGATCTTGAAACGTCCACTTTAATTACACAGTCCTGGTGTGCAAAGGCAAAATTACGAAAAAAAATTTCACTTTAAACATTTTTGGACATTGTTTAGTTATATTGTGACTTACTCTCACAGAAGATACAGATGCCACAAACAGACTTTGAACAACGCATGTGCTTGTATGCACCACATTTCTGGCACTGCACCTGTGAATTAAAAAAAAGAAAAAAGAAGAAGAAATAAACAAACAAAAAACAAATGAACAAAGTCCATTAAATAAACAATCTATATGGCTAAGGACATGTCATAGTGTACCCGGTCTTTGGCTGCAATCACACACCAGCACTGACTGCACTTCCTAGTTCGATCTGCAAAATATAATTTGTTTAAGTACAAGTTACATTTTCCAATGTTAGAGAAAAGAAGGCAGCTAATTTTATCTTTACCTATTGAGGAAAATAAGTAGTGGCAAAGTCGGGACCTGAGCTTTGTGATTTCAGTGTTGTACTCCTCCACTTGTGTTTTACCGTCAATGAGAGATTGGGCAAACTAATAATTGACGAAGAAGAAGAAGAAAAAAAAAAAAAAAAGAACAAAAAGAATTAGATTAACAAAGAAATGTTTGTTTGTTTTTAACCCCCCCACCCCACCCCCCGAGAAAAAAAACAAAAAACAGAGCAACCAAAGCAAAGCATTACTGCTGAAATGGTTCAATCTACAAAAAAAATTGAGATTTTACCATCCTGCCTCTAAGGCTTTAAAAACTGAATAGGCAAAAATGTAAACATTACTTATATAGGTTAAAGCTATAGTTTTCAGTACCATTATGACATGCACTCCACATGAGTTCCCATCCTGTTGATGTGGGTGGCTCACATGTGACAAGGTCCACTCTCCAGTGCAGCCTCTTGCTGAAGCAAATGAGCTGAGAGATCGCAGTTATTACAAATAAAAAGCATATAGAGAAATCAATAACCACGTTCGGTAATGATTTCAATTAAATTAAATATGTTATGTTAAATATGTTAATTAATTACCTCCAGTTTTTCAACACCGCACTTTTTCTGACCTCCGACTCGCCAAATGAATTCATATAGACTATGGTCCTCTTGGGTATATCACAAAACTGTTTTGTAAAAAGATGGATATGGTAGGCTTGGGCCTTGAGCTTTCCTAATGAGGGACACTGAAAAGTATCATGCACTAGAGAGAGTGCAAAATCTGTGCAACTTACAAACAAGGTCCAGTGGCTGCCATTTTCCAGACAGGCTCCAATCAATTTCTCATACATCTGAAAGATGTTTTTCTGGAAATAAAAGAATGTGACAAGTATGTTTTTCTGTCAAGAATGACACTGCAAAACTGCGAAAGCTTGTCAGGTGAGACTTGTGATTAATTCTGCAGATACACAAACATATAGAAAGTGTCATTTTTGGTTTACATTAATAATTTCTATAGTGTGTACAAAACAAATCAAGACCACAGACTCAACACGCACCACTCAATTTTTGGTGTTCTTTATCAGTTGGCCAAGACAGAAATGTTTTAATCTGTGTGCATTGCTTTTGAACAAGTCTTTACACAGAAAAGGTTTCAGAAAGGTATTTTTCAGGTTCTTCTGACAAGGCTTCAATTTTGGAAAATGCTGTTTGTTTATAGTGGCAACTTATAAACCCTTTGTGATAAGAACATAGTTACCACAGTCCAAGTCATACCTTCAAAAAGTATGCACTTTGTGCTCTTGTGGACCCATCCAAAATTTTTCCAGTGATTTGGCTTGGTATTGGATAAATGTGAGGGAAATTCTATAAAAATAACATAAATACACCTATGTTTTCAAATACATTACAAAAAACGTAAACATGCTATGTCATTATGATCAAACAAGCTTTTCAACATACCTCACACTGCAATAGATTAGGCCATCTATTACCTTATAAAACAAATAAATAAATACATATAAATAAAAACAGAACTAAGGAATACGATTCATTAAGTAAATTGTACAATAAAGTGTATTTAAAGCAGAATTTAACATTAGTTTTATGACAACATAAAATGATTTTTATGTCAAGAGGTACCTCATCTGAAATGTTAGTCTGGTCAAACAGGGATTTCAAACTTGAAATACCAATAGAGTTTGGTCCAGCTACTCCCACAAGGTAATCTGTGAGAAAGCATATGCTGTAGTCAACAGATATCATTTTCTTTTTGCATGCTGCAACTATCATCCATTTCAGTCTTCTAGGAGCTTTGTCTGGTTGTAGTTCTTTTTTCTCCTCCTCATCTATTAATTAAATTATTTTCTGACCTTCCTAACTGTTTCCGACCTGTCTTCCCAATGTGATGTTTAAGCAATATATGTATGGTCAGAAGGGGGTGAAATTTTCATTGCATTGTACGTGTAACATTGCATGTGATAATAAAAGGCTTGATTGGTTGATTATTCAACATGAGTTGACATTTACCTGACATTGTGAAGGAGTCACAGTTTCTGTAAGGGTGTAAGAACATAACATGTGATTTGTTACACTTCTTTTCACAAGTTAATAACAATCAATAATTTTCATTCCATTATTTACAAGCTATCACACGATGTCCCAGGGACAACATCTACACGATGTCCCAGGGACAACATTTACACGATGTCCCAGGGACAACATCTACACGATGTCCCAGGGACAACATTTACACGATGTCCCAGGGACAACATCTACACGATGTCCCAGGGACAACTTTACACATGTAGGCAATTCACATGTCCCAGGGACAACATTACACAATGCCAGGACAACATTTACCGATGTCCTGGACAACATTTAGCGATGTACCAGGACAAATTTGTAATTTCTGGATTACTGTTAATCTCCATAGAATCAAGAACTCATGTCCAGTTTCACAGCTATCAAATCAAATCAAATCAAATCAAATCACTTTTATTGTCACATCACATGTGCAGGCACACTGGCACAGCACATGCGAGTGAAATTCTTGTGTGCGAGCCCCACAAGCAACAGAGATGTGCAAACACAACAACACAAACGAGCAAAATACAAGAATGGCCAACCTGAAACTAATAAATATATGTACAATATATAATAGTGTATGCATTTCTGGATGTGTATACTAAATATTTTCCTACGTGTGTGTGTGTGTGTGTGTGTGTGTGTGTGTGTTGTGTGTGTGTATACACATTTTTACAAATTAAATAGTTAAAAAAAAAAATAATAATAATAAAATATATAAAATATACAGAGTTGAATATGTGCAAAACAAGTGGCATTTATATACATTATATACATTTATATACAGTGTGGAGTGCATAATGTTAACTGGTCCAGCTATGGACCAGTTAATTATGTTTCCAGGTGATAGTTTGATTCATAGATTCAGCACACACTTCTTCACTTGTATTTCGAAATAATCGAAGGCGGGTATTTCGAAGTCGCAAAGGAATGACGTACAAGAAGGTGATTGGTCACTTGCAATGTTGAACCTGGAACAACATTAATTATGATGATGTGGGAACAATGCTGACACGAGGAAATCAGATCGTCCCTTTCCGAAAGAACTAAAAAGGCGTTAGTAGAGAAATACTATAAAGTAAATTAACAAACAATGTAAGTTTGTTGACAGCCGATATATATATATATATATATATATATATATATATATATATATATAATATAATATATATATATATATATATTATATATATATATATATATTATATTATTATTATATATATTATATATATATATGTATGTATATATTATATGTATGTATATTATATATGTATATAATAATAATATATATATATGTATATATATA